TGTAGTCAATGAATAGCATTCTCACATAGGTGTTCCTTTTGTCCAGGTGGGAAAGGGCAGTGTGGAGTGCAATAGTGATTGCATTATCGGTGGATCTGTTGGGGCGGTATGCAAATTGGAGTGGGTCTAGGGTTTCTGGGATAATGGTGTTGATGTGAGTCAAAGCTCTCAAAAAAATATAGAACACAGTAAGCATCCTCAACAACACTTTGAAAAGAGAACCCAACTGCCCTATACAGCCACTTACTGGTGAAACACTGCTATTGCATCAGCTTATACAGTTGAAGTCGGAAGTTTACATACACCTTAGCCAATTACATTTAAACTCAGTTTTTCACAATTCCTGACATTTAATACTAGTAAATATTCCCTGTCTTAGGTCAGTTAGGATCACCATTTTATTTTAAGAATGTGAAATGTCAGAATAATAGTAGAGAGAATGATTTCTTTCAGATTTTATTTCTTTCATCACATTCCCAGTGGGTCATCACATTCCCAGTGGGTCAGAATTTTACATACACTCAATTAGTATTTGGTAGCATTGCCTTTAAATTGTTTAACTTGGGTCAAACGTTTCGGGTAGCCTTCCACAAGCTTCCCACAATAAGTTGGGTGAATTTTGGCCCATTCCTCCTGACAGAGCTGGTGTAACTGAGTCAGGTTTGTAGGCCTCCTTGCTCGCACATGCTTTTTCAGTTCTGCCCACAAATGTTCTATAGTATTGAGGTCAGGGCTTTGTGATGGCCACTCAAATACCTTGACTTTGTTGTCCTTAAGCCATTTTGCCACAACTTTGGAAGTATGCTTGGGGTCATTGTCCATTTGGAAGACCCATTTGCGACCAAGCTTTAACTTTCTGACTGATGTCTTGAGATGTTGCTTCAATATATCCACATAATTTTCCTTCCTCATGATGCCATCTATTTTGTGAAGTGCACCAGTCCCTCCTGCAGCAAAGCATCCCCACAGCGTGATGCTGCCACCCCCGTGCTTCACGGTTGGGATGGTGTTCTTTGGCTTGCAAGCATCCCCCTTTTTCCTCCAAACATAACAATGGTCATTATGGCCAAACAGTTCTATTTTTGTTTCATCAGACCAGAGGACATTTCTCCAAAAAGTACGATCTTTGTCCCCATGTGCAGTTGCAAACCGTAGTCTGGCTTTTTTATGGCGGTTTTGGTTTACCTGTACCTGTTTCCTCCAGCATCTTCACAAGGTCCTTTGCTGTTGTTCCGGGATTGATTTGCACTTTTTGCACCAAAGTACATTCATCTCTAGGAGACAAAACGCGTTTCCTTCCTGAGCGATATGACGGCTGCGTGGTCCCATGGTGTTTATACTTGCGTACTATTGTTTGTACAGATGAACGCGGTACCTTCAGGCATTTGGAAATTACTCCCAAGGATGAACCAACATTTTTTGGCTGATTACTTTTGATTTTCCCATGATGTCAAGCAAAGAGGCACTGAGTTTGAAGGTAGGCCTTGAAATACATCCACAGGTACAACTCCAATTGACTCAAATGATGTCAATTAGCCTATCAGAAGCTGCTAAAGCCATGACATATTTTCTGGAATTTTCCATGCTGTTTAAAGGCACAGTCAATTGTTGGAAAAATTCCTTGTGTCATGCACAAAGTAGATGTCCTAACCGACTTGCCAAAACTATAGTTTGTTAACAAGAAATTTGTGGAGTGGTTGAAAAGTTTTAATGACTCCAACCTAAGTGTATGTAAACTTCTGACTTCAACTGTAAATAAACACTTGCAGAGAATGAAATTGCATGTGTACCTTGCACGCACATGTGTGCACACACAGGCACATATGCATACACGCGCAGACACACACACACACAGACCTGTGAGGGCCTGCAGGTGTTGTTTGCCCAGTAGGTGTTAATTCTTGTTGTGCAGAGAAATGAAGTACTGATTACAGGTAGGACAAAACAGATTACTATACTCATCCCCCTGAGAAAGAGAGAAAGAGAGAGAGAGAGAGACAGAGAGAGAGAATAAGTAATAACTTTAAATTAATAAATAATAAGCTTAGAAATGCTTTATAAATTATTATAAATTATCATAACACTGAATGTTTATTATGCTATTATCAGAGCTATGGTTAAATGGTTTGAGTAGACAAAGGAGCGACAACTCACATCTATGGGATTTAGAGCCACGGTCTCCTCCTCCATCTCAGTGTCAACTGCCAAGAGTCCTCATGACAACAACAACAACAGCAATCAACATAGAGCACATCTAATTACATAACTACTACACCCTAGAGTCTAGACACTATGCAACACACTACACGGACATTGCACACACACACACACACACACACACACACACACACACACACCACAGAGCTCTGGGGGCTTCACAATGAGAGTAACATCTCCTCTGCCAATAAATGAGTTTGAGAGCATGTGTATGTGCAGGTGTGTGTGTATGCATCTCTCACCCTGTTGTTGGAGCTCTGGGTGCTGTTAACTATCTCTGAGGTTTCCTCTTCTTTTCCTTCGGCCACCCACCCTTTACGTTTCTATGGCAAAAAAACACCATCCATCAAAAATGTTGTTAATTGCACCAGCTTTTGTGAGTATGATTTGCCTGTGTGTATGGAGAATAGTGTTATTGCTTTCACTCCACCTTTGGCTCAGTCAGTGTATGACACTCCAGTGGTTCCTGGTCTTCCTCCAGTAGCAGACAGGGGGGCAGGGGCAGCCTCAGGCCCCTGGGAGGGAGGGGAGACAGGGGAGCGCCACACTGGTATGGAGGGATGACATGTCATTCTCCAGCAGAAGGGTACTGTGGAGGTTCTGTTGTGAATATGTAGACGCACACACAAAATATTCTTATCATCATTATCATCAATATGATCATGTGACACAGGTTTGAAGTTGTTTCTACATGGGTTGCTCTTACCATCTGACTGCAGTTCAATCCCTGCCTCTGAGGTCAACTCGCCCAGGTAGGACACATACAATTCTGAGAAGCAAAAGAAAATAACATGTAGTGCATTAAATGGTTTTCAGAACTGACACAACAAAGCTCCGTATGCTGACTGTCAACACATGCAGAACGAAACTGCAAAAGTTAATAACATCAACATTCGAATGCCTTATGCTGTGTTAAAACGTGTATTGCAGTGACTGAGGTCCACAAGTGATCCAAAAAAAAAGGTTGGCACTCACTCCCCGACCCACCTCTGCTGACTGTCCACATTCTGAACGGACAAGGTGGCCCATTGATGAAGGCGACAGGTGGAGGTGTTGTCCCGTTCCCGGAATCACCTGCGAGCCCAGCGCCAGGTGCAATGTCGTGGCCGCCGAGCTCAGCGTCAGCTCAAGGCTCTGACATTGGAAATTCCCTACAAACAAGGAGACAATCACATGATGATGTAGCCAGGAAGAGCAATCGAGCACGGAGCTATGCAAACTTGGAACGTTTACATAGGGAGAAACTCTCGACATTTCTTTACAATGTAATTCTAATGGCATGGTGTGACTAACGCATTCACATTTAAATGTTAAGCGTAAATGAACGTATGATGTATAGTTCTTATCGATGCGTGTAGGCTATGGGACATAAATCATTTCATGAAAATAATAATAATTGGTCATTTAGCAGACGCTCTTATCCAGAGCGACTTACAGGAGCAATTAGGGTTAAGTGCCTTGCTCAAGGGCACATCGACAGATTTTTCACCTAGTCGGCTCGGGGATTAGAACCAGCGACCTTTCGGTTACTGGCACAACGCTCTTAACCACTAAGCTACCTGCCGCCCATAAAGAGGTCATCCAATCAATCTATTCTCTGCACGACAGCATTTCGACCGTATACTGGTGACGCCTGAAAGAGAACGCTCGGGAAATGTCGACTTCCCGTATCAGTAGCCAATCATATTAAGAGAAGACGAAGGCGTCACTAACAACGTCCAATCCTAAGCACACGGAATAGAAAGTGGGCGTTTATTATGTCTGTGACAGTTGAATGACTTCTCTCCTCGCTATAAGTGGAGTTTGATCACAGATGCGCTTGTGGCACCGAACTGCCAAAAGTGGAAGGGATGAATGAGAGGAGACTCTGAACAACTTCATCGGAACATTTCTAATAGCTTCTTATCGACTAGATGAAACACAGATTGAGTCTTTGACTGCAAAGGTGAGAGAATAACGCTGACATGTTTATTTTGGACATGCTGTACTCTACGTAGGAAGAACTGCCAGCTCACTGTCATATCACAATTTAGCGTTGATTGAAGAATAGCTAGTCATTTTTAAAACTACAGGCACGTGTTTCGCATTATATTTTAAACTGGTCACCAACCTTTTTTAATGTGGTCTAAAACAGTGTGTCATTTGCTTATTATCATGTTATTGAATGACTTTCGACCGGTCAAATCAAAGTCAAAGTCTTGGGGAAATACCCTGCACTGCAGCAGAACACTTCATGGTCCCTCAAGCTCTTGCATACCAACCTAAGATTGTCACACTCTTCATAATAGTGGTAGTAGCCTTTTATTTTGATATGAGCTTCATGCTGTCTAAAGTCGAATTGGTTTAGGCTCTTCATTGTTTAGTTTGGGATAGACCATATGGCAATTTAGGGGGGGTCAAGAGGCATGTTGTTGGGTCGAGAGACACATTTTAACACTTTGTCCAGAAGGGAATCTATGAGCTCCCTTTGGCAGTGAGAGTGAGAGTTGAATGATTGGAGCAGAAGAGGAGTGTGCCATGCAGCTGTTGTGTCACTGTACCAGGTGTCCTCCTCACACTGACAATGCCTCCACTCTCTCTCTCCCTTGGCTGCACTCTGCTTCAGCTGTGTCAACAGACACGTGCTTCCACGCAGCTGGCGCCCCCCCCTCATGCACAGCTATCTCTTCTGTGATTGAATACTGCCATGATTTTTTAAATGATTCTGAAAAGCTCTGTCTATAAAGGTTGAAACTCATTTAACCAGACAGCGTTAAACTGTTTTATCTTCCTCTGTCTTTCAGGCATGGAACCATCACCCCCCAGCACCCCAAACACCCCGAAACCTGCCCCTTCCTCCCCGCCACCCTCCTCTCTTTCCCCACCTACCCCTAAATCTACCCCGGGCACTAGACCCACTGTGACCCTGCCTAAATTGCCCCCGACCTCTCCGGTCTCACCTTCCAGCCCTTTTTGTCCTGGCCCCCCCCTCTCTCCCCCCGCTTCCTCCCTCTCCACCCCTCCTGCCTCCCCCCTGCGGCAGCCCATCAGACCTGTCTCCCAGGCGGGACGATCCCAGCTCAATGCAGCCAGCAGGGCTACGGATGAGAGGAGGGGGGCTGGTGCTGCTGGAGATACCCCAGGCAGGCCCCCTACTACCCCTCTACAACAGGCTTCAATAGCTGAGCCAGGTGAGTACAGTCAAAGACACACACACACACACATTCACCACAGAGCTCTGGTCCCCTGGTAAGGGCTTTGTAACACAACCCAACACAATCACTCCAACCCTAATACTAAGTACAATCAAGGACATCCCCCTTCGCGCACAAAAGCTCACTCAACAATAAAAAAACATACCACATCCCTAATCTAACCTATTTTATTGACCTATTTATATATCGCTTACCCTTATATTTAAAAACAGAACAGAAACACGAATGCCTGGCCAACCATGCTTCTCTGCCAAGCCAACCAATCAAAGCACTATGCAGTGGATAGAAAAGAGCAGGCACTCTGTGCTATCCCATCAAGACCAAGCTACTATTACTATCTAACCTAACCCCTTTGCTTTGTCTGTTTGCCTATTATGTTAAGGCTTTTGGGGTAGGGCACACAGCTCTTAACGGTGACTCTGTATTTCACTTCCTGCCTCATCCTCTCTGCCCCTACCCTTACCCTCCAATCGGAACCTCTCCCTCTGTGGCACGTGACCTATCTCCATGACAACAGCAGACGTTGACCAGAGCATGTAAAGTAGTCAGTCAGGGATTGCTGTGTAAGGCAGAAAAACAGCCCTCTCTCCTACCCCTATCCTCCTATCCATCTACTTCTCTCCAAGCTATTCTAGTACGACTGGGAAAAGCCTTAATGGAAAGCTAATTCCTTTCTCAATGCTCGGTATGGCTGATTCAGGTGTATTGTATCTATGACACTGCACATAAGGTACAGAATTTACGAAGCAGTGTAGACCAAGTTTGAAATGTTTGTCACGTGCAGAAGTACAGTGAAATGCCTTTCTTGCAAGCTCTAAACCTAACAATGCAGTAATCAATTTAGTACTAAAAATAACGTAAGGTAGTACAAAAACACACAATAAATAAAAATAAGAAGAATACGAGAAAGTAAGAAGCTATATACAGGGTCAGATCCAATACCATATTTACGATGTACAGGGATACTGGAGGCATCAGGATGTATGATAAACATAGTAGCAGCAGCGTAAATGAAGATTGTGTTTCTTGGAGCGTCAGTGTGTGTTAATGTGTAGTGTCCTGTGAGTGTGCATAGAGACAGTGCAACGGGTCAATGCAGATAGTCCGTGTAGCCATTTTGTTAACTATTTAGCAGTCTTATGGCTTGGGGATAGAAGCTGTTCAGGAGCCTGTTGGTGTCAGACTTTATACACCGGTACTGCATGCCGTGCGGAAGCAGAGAGAACATTCTATGGCTTGGGTGGCTGGACCCTTTAACGATTTTCCAAGCCTTCCTGATATAGATGTGCTAGATTTTTTTAAAAACATTTACGTCATTTAGCAGACGCTCTTATCCAGAGCGACTTACATGAGCAATTAGGGTTAAATGCCTTGCTCAAGGGCACATTGACAGATTTTTCACCTAGATGGCAGGGAGCTCGGCCCCAGTGATGTAGTGAGCTGTCTGCACCACCCTCTGTAGCGCCGTGCGATCCAGGGCGGTGCTGTTGCCATACCAAGCAGTGATGCAGCCAGTCAAGATGCTCTCAATGGTGCAGCTGTTGAACTTTTTGAGGATTTGAGGGCCCATGCCAAACTTGTTCAACCCCCTGAGGAGATAGAATTTTTCACACTATTCTCTATCTCAAAAAGAAAAGACACAGATGTCTTTCCGATAAACATGTTAGAGTCGCGTCAGGGCCAGGGGGTGAGGAGTAGCTGTTGAGTGAGCTAAATAAACGTATTTTAGGGCTGAGGCGCAGGGCTGTGCTATGTCCACCATGCTGGCAGGAGTCACTGGCATGCAAGGAAAGAAACTGGATACATAAAGCATCAGCACAGCACATACGGACGGTTCCCTCTGCTCTTTAGTGACACAACACAGATTTATCACCTCTGCCAGCCACTACATCAAGAGCACTACCTCACTTACACAGTATACTAAGGGCTCTACCAATTACAAATTACAGTAAGGGTTATTACATAGGTGTTACAGATGTACAGATATACCACTTATAGCTTTTGTATACAGATAGTGGTCCACATGGGGGACAGGTGGGGGTCAGAAAGAAAGACCGTTGGTCTGCGTGCTGAAGTGGTCCCTCGGTTTGGGTCTGAGGGAAGTGGGGGGGGGCAGGGGGGGACATGGACAGTTGTTGTGAGATGTTACCACCTGTCTGCAGGGAGGAACATCCTGTTCATAATGAATAACACTACAGTTCATTAGTAGTATGCTTGTTCCCAAATGCTATGCGGCACATGTTACTGTGTGTATCAATGCTGCCAGTCACCATGTAATATCCCCTTTGGCAGTAACCTTCCTAATGAATGAATACATCAATTAGATGACTGTTGTCTCTGTGTAGAGGAGCCAGAGGAGGAGCTGAGTGTGGAGGAGCTGGAGGAGAGAGCCAAGTCTGGAGATGCCAAAGCCCAGTCTATGGTGAGTACTAACCCCCCCCCCCCCAGCCATCTCCCATGGTCCACCCTGGATAGACCACCATAGCACACTTGAAAAGTCCTACCATAGAATGAAATACTAGAACTCAGAATTTAATAGGATCTCTAATATGAACTACAATGGGTCTTCATGTGTCTGACAAAATGAGCACATATTTCACATGATATACTGTATGTGTATCTGTGTGTAGGTGGGCCGGTACTACTTGGCCCTGGCCGAGGAGAGAGATGAGGAGCTGAACAACTGTACAGCAGTGAGCTGGCTGGTGCAGGCCACCAAACAGGGCCGCAAGGACGCCGTCAAGATGCTACAGCGCTGCCTAGCAACCAGGAAAGGTGAGGGGGCGCAGCCTTACCCACTAAACAGGAAGTATATATATGGAGAGATCCAGAGCAATTCAATCGAATATTTTTTGAATTGGGACTGAAAAGGTACAGCAATTAAATGGAGTATGCCGTTAAATGATATGCACTTCTCAGGAGTCAACTGTCATTGGGATTGTGGAACCAGTTGAACTGATTGGTTGTCTCAGTGCATGGTGTTCATTATGAGGCATTATGGTTGTTTTTGTCACCATTAAGGCATCACGTCGGAGAACTTTGAGGAGGTAAAGAAGCTGTGTACGGAGACTAGGTTTGAGAGAGGAGTGAGGAGGGCTGCCCTGGTCATGTACTGGAAGCTCAACCCAGATAAGAAGAGAAGAATGGCTGTGTCTGAGCTGCTGGAGAACGTGGAACATGTCAACACAGAACCAGGTAGAGGGAACAGTCACACACGCACACACACACACATACACTCATACATTACATATATGGTCCCACATATACACAACAGTCACACCATAATGTAATATTAAATGTTCATGAACACCCAAGAGCTGAGAGGCCTAGTTGTTATTTAGCTAGTTTCTAAACTGTGCGTTCCTCTGTAATTCCTCCACCCCAAGGTGACGCTGCCTCCCAGGGCCCCATATCTAGTTCCATGCAGAAACAGAGGAGAGTTCTGGAGAGTCTCGTCACCAGCAAAGGTCAGTGTATGTTTATGTAATATAGAATCAAATGGAAAGGCAATGTAACAGTGAGTTAAGACTACCTCTCTCTGTCTGTGTCTTTGCAGTCAGTTGCTATGACATGGGTCTGGATGACTTTGTGGAGATCACTAAGACGTACGCTCAGGGCATCCCACCTAGTCCCACTATGGCTGGGGCCGGAGGTGACGATGACGATGATGACGAAGTTGTGAAGAACCCAGACGACTTGCCCCTTCATCAGAAGGTGTCAACCGTTTTTTTCTCTCTGGGAATGCATGTGTTCATAACATCTTCACACACATTCACAATTTTACATTTGTTATTATCTTGCTCATGGATTTACCCTCTCTCTCTCTCTCTCTCTCTCTCTCTCTCTCTCTCTCTCTCTCTCTCTCTCTCTCTCTCTCTCTCTCTCTCTCTATCGCTCTCAAATTCAAATTGCTTTATTGGCATGACAAACATTGAGTAAATATTGCCAAACCATCAATGTAACAACTGCATTTAGTCATATACACTCAGTGGCCAGTTTATTAGGCCATCTAGTACTGGGTCGGACCCCCCTTTGCCTCCAGAACAGCCTGAATTCTTCAGGGCATGGATTATACTAAGTGTTGGTATCAAGGGACCTTACACCACCGCCACCAGCCTGTACCGTTGACACCAGGCAGGATGGGTCCATGGACTCAGACTGCTTATGCCAAATCCTGACCAGGCAATGTTTTTCCACTCCTCAATTGTCCAGTGTTGGTGATCGTGTGCCAACTGGAGCCGATTCTTCTTGTTTTTAGCTAATAGGAGTGGAACCCGGTGTGGTCGTCTGCTGCAATAGCCCATCCGTGACAAGAACCAACGAGTTGTCCATTCCGAGATGCAGTTCTGCACACCACTGTTGTACTGTGCCGTTGTCTGCTGGTTTGTGGCCCGCCTGTTTTTTTGCACGATTCTGCCATTTTCTTTCGACCCCTCTCATCAACGAGCTGTTTTCCCCACAGGACTGCCGCTGACTGGATGTTTTTGTTTGTCCCACCATTCTCTGTAAACTCTAGACACTGTCGTGCATGAAAATCCCAGGAGGACGGCCGTTTCTGAGATACTAGAACCGGCCGCCTAGGACCGACGATCATACCACGCTCAAAGTCGCTTAGGTCACTAGTTTTGCCCATTCAAACGTTCAATCAAACAGTAACTGAATGCCTCGATGCCTGTCTGCCTGCTTTATATAGCAAGCCACGGCCACGTGACTCACTTGTCTGTAGGAGCGAACCATTTTTGTGAACGGGGTGGTGTACATTGAAATAATGCGTAATCTCTCTCGCACCCTTTCTCTCCCCCTCCTCTCCTCCCCTAGGTGTTGAAGTTCCCCCTACACGCCCTGTTGGAGATCAAGGAGCACCTGATAGACTGGGCGTCCCGGGCGGGCATGCAGTGGCTCAGCGCCCTCATCCCCACTCACCACGTCAATGCCCTCATCTTCTTCTTCATCATCAGCAACCTCACCATCGACTTCTTCATCTTCCTCATCCCCCTGCTCGTCTTCTACCTCTCCTTGTTCTCCATGGTCATCTGCACGCTGCGTGTCTTCCAGGTAGGATACACACGGCTCTGGCCTTATACCAGAGGAACTGAAAGAGGAAAAGCTATGCCATTATCCTGTAATAAACTAGCAAGAACACTCATTTAGGGAGTACTTACCACCTAACCTTTGGTATTTTCTTGGTAAAACGAATTAAAATGGTTAGTACTATGTAACTATAGTACTATGTGCAAGTTATTCCATGACGGTTAGCTATAGAATAATGTGTGTACAGTATGTAAAGAGCTGTTGGTGTTGTTCTTCCAGAACTCCAAGGCGTGGGAGAACTTCCGGGCTCTGACAGACCTGCTGTCTCGCTTCGAACCGGGCCTGGACCTGGAGCAAGCTGAGACTAACTTTGGCTGGACCCACCTGGAGCCCTACCTCTACTTCCTGCTGTCGGTGGTCTTCGTGGTCTTCTCCTTCCCCGTGGCTGACAAGGCCTGGATCCCCTGCTCCGAGCTGGCCACCGTGGCCCTGTTCTTCACCATCACCTCCTTCCTCAGCCTCCATGCCTCCGCTGAGCTCTTCGCCCGCCGCGCCCTGCTCACAGAGGTGTTATCGGGGATCTGTGCCCTTACACAACTATTACCGGATAGTCTCTGGTTCCTGCGGGTGTTAGGCACAACGTTTGTGACGGTGCCGCTAGGGGAGATGGTGGCGCTGAACGTGGGCGTGCCGTGTCTTCTCTATGGGCACCTGTTCTACCTGCTGTTCCGCATGGCCCAGCTGAGGGGCTTCAGGGGCACCTACCTCTGCCTGGTACCCTACATGGTCTGCTTCGTCTGGTGTGAGCTGTGCCTGGCCCTGCTCCACTCCTCCTCGACCATAGGTCTGATTCGGACCTGTGCGGGCTACCTCCTCTTCCTGTTCGCCCTGCCTGTCCTCACCTTGGGCTTGGCGGCCATGTTGCTCATCCAGGTCCTCCAGTGGTTCATGGCTCTGGAGATCACCAAGATGCTGGTGACTCTGACCGTGTGTGCGGTCCCGGTGGTGTTGCGGTTGTGGACGCGGTTCAGCCTGAACCCGCTGGTGGTGGCGCGGTCCCTGTCGCGGAGCAGCGTGGTCAAGCTCATCCTGGTGTGGTTGAGTGCTGTGGTGCTGTTCTGCTGGATGTACGTCTACCGCTCCGAGGGCATGAAGGTAATCACAATAACTAGTTCGCTACATTATGCTACATTATACCCAACGCACTAATTAAAACAAAATACAGGTACTAACATATTAACATTATAAAAAAATTACCGAATGACAGAACAAGATCAAATTGCAGTCAGCAGAGTACTATTTACAGTATTAAAATGTAACTAAATAAATGATTCACTAAATGTATGAAAAGTGTTCAATGGAATACATGAACTGTATAATAAACAACATCAAAATCAAGTTTAACCAAGTGTCTTGAACAGGTGTATAACTCCACCCTCACGTGGCCGGAGTACAGTAACCTGTGTGGGCCGAAGGCCTGGAAGGAATACAACATGGCCCAAACCCAGATCCTGTGTTCTCACCTGGAGGGCCACCGGGTCACCTGGACAGGACGCTTCAAATACGTTCGCATCACCGACATCGAGAACGGAGCCCAGTCTGTCATCGGCCTACTTCCTGTGTTCGTAGGGAACTGGATGAGATGTCTCTACGGTGAGGCCTATCCACTCTGTGAAAACACCACCGACCCCTCCACCCCCACTGCCCCTCCACAGCCCCTACCCATACCCCAGCCCCCTCCAGAAGACCCCTTATGCAAACTGAAAAGGCTGGCGAAGCACGAGTGCCACGTGAAGCGCTTCGACCGCTACAAGTTTGAGGTGACCTTGGGCATGCCCCTGGAGAGGAAGAGTAAGAATGGGACCATCATAGAGGACGAAGACGCCACCAAGGACATCGTCCTGAGGGCCAGTAATGAGTTTGGCCCCGTGCTGCTGCACCTGAGCGCTGGGAGCCTGGTAGAGTTCAGTACGGTTCTAGAAGGACGCCTGGGCTCCAAGTGGCCTGTGTTTGAACTGAAGGCCATTCACTGTCTGACGTGTGCAGATGCCCGCGTGCCCAGCGGCAGGCAGTATAAGATAGAACACGACTGGAGGCGCTCGGCCCAGGGGGCACTGCAGTTTGCGTTCGACTTCTTCTTTAACCCCTTACTCACCGCACGGCTGGAGCAGGACGCTGAGACACAGACCATGCAGGGCGGAGGGTAGTGGTGGATGAGTGTATCTGAAGAGCAATGGAGCAATTAGGAGTGACTGAGTGTACACTGGGGAGTGAATAAGTACTCTGGGAGAACTGAATGTACACACAAATCAAATAAAGACTTCACTAAGGTTTGTCAGTCAGGCATGCATTATGTCTACCTACAGTAAGGGCTCTATTTAGTCCGCATCGAGGAAGTTCAGCTTTACAGCGTGATTGAAATGTAAAGGTAATCTGTCTGCATTCACGGTAAACGCTGCGTATGTCGACACAATCGGAAATGACCTTTTAAAATGCTATCATGGAATGAATAGAGCCCAAATCTATGGTTCTGCATGATGTTTTCCACTATAATGTAGTTCCACTACTGGGGTTCAACTGTTTGTAGTGATGTGTGTGGCTGTGTGCTCTATACACCCTACAGTAGTAAAACCAGCTTAGACACATAGCAGTATTGTGTGTATTGCTAAACTAGGAGTAAGTGTGTGTGTTTGTAGTGTGTGAGGGTTTTCATAGCTGCTGAGACAACGTGTGAGAGGATAATATCATGGAGAATCTTAACTAAACCCCTTAATTACAAAGGAGGGAGACAGTTTCCACAAACTTTACACTTTCATACATGCAACCACACACACAAATACACACACCGCCTCAACCTCCTAATTCATAGACAAGTGTTTTTAGTCCGTCAGCATTTCAGAAGAAGTGTGTGGGACAATGCCGATCAATAAGCTTATTAACATTTTGCATGCTATTCAACCATATAGGCCTACCATTTGCACCCTCACATATTGTAGATAAGGGGTCTCCATTTACATTCAGCCATGGGACGATTATTTCTTTAGTGGATAGTCGGGGGGTCGGAGCATAGTTATAAATAATTTATAGTCTGCAAATTGACTGCAAGAAGCTCAAACAGATATAGTATTTGACAAAAACTGAATCATTTCAAACCTTGATTACATTGGGATACATTAACATATGCCTCTATATTTATGCATGGAAATACTTGGGAACAGATTTCCTAAATTTAAATCACTTTGAAATGATTTCCTGGTGATTTGAGTCTTATGTCCAACAACTAAATTATATTTTTTTAAATCCAAATTAATCACGGACCACGTATTGGGGAACCCTGTTGTAGATGTTATCTGTTGGTTGACTTATCAGGTTTGTTTGCATATTAAGTAATAGGACTTTTTAACTACAGCGTGGTTTAAAATACTCAATGGTGTTTGTTTTTTTACACGACTTGCGATTTCAAAATGTAATTTTTGTTGTTTTTACAGTTTAAGGTCTTAATTCAGTTTAATTCTTTAGCTACTTGTATTTTACAGTTATTGAATTGTTGTTCGTTTTCTTTTAACATAATTTTCATCATAGGATCATGACAGAGAAACAAATGGACTTAAACTGTTCCAGTTGTCTCCTTAAATATTATGCTTGAATCATTATGTTGTCATTTTCATACCCTTGTTGTGACGCCATACACCATTAGTTCACTTGTATCAAACCCCACCTGGATCAAAGTGTACTTGTGTCCAAATTGATCTTTGCCCCTCTTTTACTTGTCTGCCTTGTTGTCCCTCCCTCCCCCTCCCTGCTGTGCAGGGGTTTGGATCTGTTCTGGTCCCACAGTTCCAGTCTGCAGGCCTCTAATGATGTCACTGTTGTAGGTTGTGATGTCACTACTGTAACCCTCTACACTACTGTGACCAATAAACTAATCATGGAAATGGAAAACTCTGCTTCCTGAAGGGTTATTTCAATCTCACGCGCGCACACACACACAGAGTCCGTATACCTTAATGAGCATGATCTTGTCGTTAGTCTGGATCTGTACTCTCTCCAGGGCTATGGTGAGCTTGTCCTGCAGAAGAGGTCACACACACACACAAGGTGCTGATTCCGCTTCATTGTTGTATGTAATGACAGTGTATTAACACTAGGTGGTTCCCCAGACTGCAGCACAGAGATTGTTTTAGTGATATCATGTAATCCTTAGTGATGGATTTCAAATCTATTGAGCCATATGAAGACTGTTGCATCTTAAGAATCTACAATGTACACAAACAGCAATTAATACTTTAAGCATGAATGAAAACTGATTGAATAGTGATCATATTAGAATTGATCTAGCTACAGTGACATACGTTTTATAGACACCACAGCCTTACCCATAGGATGCAATTTTGTTGAAATCTTTATTCAGAAAAAAAAACATATTAACATATTTATAATTGTTCATTTGACTTTTTTTCTTCTTGAAAATACATTAACAAAAAAAGATGTGAATCAATGCCAGGGCAGCAGGACATGGAATCAAACAAGTGACAGATGTTTCAAAAATATATAAATAAATGAAATTGCTGGAGAGAGTGCAATAACCATGGACACCATCATCATTACAGATGATCGGCTCTGCAATCTATTGATAATTGACAAGAAACAATAAACCCATCAGCCCCTTTGAAGGTTTAGATAACAAAGCTGATAAAACATTCCCCATTCCTCTGGTTCAGTTTCTTCATTTTAACCGATTTATTTGGGCTTCATTTCAAATGTACATCGTAAAACCGAACACTGTTAAACATGCTTTTTGTGTCCTGTAAACACAAACAGAAGGAGAGCTCGTTGTTGTCGTCTAGGGTAACTAGTGCTGTGTAGAGGCAGAGCTCCAGAAGCCTTTTTACAGCCTGTTTATGCTTAGAAAGGCAGCCAGTAAATGTATATAAACACATCATTTTTGTTCATCATGCAGCATATTTTTGCTTGATTGTTGGACTTTGTTTTTGCTTTATTCATTGTGTTTCATTGCAAAGTAGCGCACGACACAGCCAAGATCCCCAGCCGTGTCCACAATCAACAGAAATGTAAGGAGTAAATGTCACCAAGCTGTGACAGACACCTAGTGGAACCCAAGTCCCAACTGTGACACGTCACTGTTATACCTATAACTGTCATTGTCATCGTCATCAATATTACCATCAACATCATCATTAACGAGAATTTACAAAAAATATGGGAATTGGTCATTTTAACTGAAAAAAACTATAATAAGACTTGAAACATCCAGCTAACATTACGCAAACGTTCTGTTTCCACGATAGTCACCACCAGGAACCGCAACGTTTTTTATACACCAACGTCAAGGATCAAATCAGTCCGTCAGACTGTACACTCTTAGAAGAAAAGGTGCTATCTAGAACCTAAAAGGGTTCTTTGGCTGTCCCCATACAAGAACCCTTTGAGTAACCCTTTTTTGGTTCCAGGTATAACCATTTTGGGTTACATGCAGAACCATTTCCACAGAGGGTTCTACATGGAACCCAAAAGGGTTCTACCTGGAACCAAAAAGGATTCTACCCTGAACCAAAAAGGGTTCTCCTATGGGCACAGCCGAATAATCATTTTGGAACCCTTTTTTCTAAAAGTGTAGGAGAGGGACTGGGGGGTTGGATTGAGCACAAACATGTACAGAAACAGAGGGAGAGAAGAGGAGAAGGAAGAAGAAGGGGATGGGGCAGATGAACAGAAAAAGACAGACATGTAAAAGCTCCTCCTGCCAAGAGGTCAATCCCTCTGAATGCAAAAACGACCAATAGCAAAATAAACACAATCAGATCAGCCACAATCCAGAGGTCGACAGTCAACAAACACACATCCATGATTTAGAATTTGAGAAACCATAAACCAGCATCATTCTCATTGGGTAATTCAGCTCCCCCTGTCTGGCCCTTGGGCGGGGTGGGTCCATCCAGTATTTTTTTTGGGGGGGGCTGGGGGGTGGGGGGTGGGGGCTGGGGGGTAGACTTCATAGACTACATTGGTTGGAAGGGCGGGAGGCAGGGAGTGAGCACTCTGGAGTGTGTGTCTCCACAGTATCGCCCTGTCGTCTGGAGGGAGTGTGTGTGTGTGTATCTATGTGTGTGTGTGTCTCCAGCCTCCTGCGCTCTCCCTCTCAGCCATGCATCTCCTGGTTGAGTTTGTCCTGGAAGATGTACAGGTTGTTGGTGGCAGCGATGGCGATGATGTTCTCCGTAGGGTGCCAGGCCGTGTGCAGGATCTTCTTGGTGAAGTCCAGGCTGTCCACGCTGATGTCATCCTTGCGGCGTTTCCCACCCTGGCAGACGCGGCGAGGCTTGAGAACTGCCCGGGGCTTACTGCTCTCCCTGGACGCCTCCAGGGTCACGTCACGCTTGGTGTTCCGGTCAAACATCCGGAAGAAGTTGTTGTAGGCCCCCGTCATGATCACACTGGGAGAGGGGGATGGAGGGAGAGAGAGAGAGAGAGAGAGAGAGAAAAGAGTCTTGAAGATGTCCAATTCTGCACTCACGCACTCTGAACACAAAGTGCACACACATTCACTCCCTGTACAATTTAAAGGGGGAGTAAGAACAGCAAGGGCAAAACGCACACACACACATTTCGTCTACCTGTCTGAGCCGTTCCAGGCACACTCAAACTTGTCGAAGATGCAGTCGTTCTCATAGAGGGAGCACAGCTTGCTGCGGAGGTAATCATGCACCTGCAGGAACACACACCAAGATTTAATCAACACACCGTTCACAGCCAACACACACACACACACACACACACACACACACACACACAGTCTCTCTGCATGGTGATGCAAGGGGCTGAAATGTACAATGATAGCTTTATTCATAATAAGCTTAATACACTCTCTGCATAGGGGCAGCGGTCAATCCATGGTCAATCCCTCAACGGATCAAACGGTGGTCACAGTTTGGTTGTAAATCAAACCATATGGACGTGTTTGTTTCCATACCGTTCTCGCTGACCAATGAAAATGTGTTGTGTTAAAGTAAACATTGCCTGTTCTCTCCCCTGACAACACACCCCTCCCCTCCCCTCCCCTCCCTCACTTTTCCTTTTTGACCTTTTCGTATTTTTCTGTTACCCTTTTCTCCCCCTCATCCTCTCTCTCTTCCCTCCCCTCCTCAATTCATTTCAATGAAGGGAATACATGAGTAAATACAGCCAAATGACTAAATACAGAGTTTTAGAGTCCCTCATTCTCCCCCATCTCCCACCCCTCTCCCTCCTCCCACCTCCCTGTCTCCTTGCTGCATTGCAGATATGGGTAGGTCTCAGTAAGGTATCCCCCCCCCCCTCTCCCAGTGCAGTTTATGAGTGGAGCTCCCGGCTATAAATAGCACCAGCGCGTCTCAACCACCCACTCCTGACTGCACAGCAGAGCACGCCACATGCGTACGCACACGCACCCACACACACTACACGAGCACACATCCTATATACACACTACACACTTATCATGTGCACTCATTATGGCCTTACGCATGCTAAACACACATTGAACATACAGGAACACATGTATCATACACAACACATACAGATGTTACATACACAGTGCATTTACATTTGAGTCATTTAGCAGACGCTCTTATCCAGACGGACTTACAGCTAGTGCCTTCATCTTAAGGCGAGACAACCACATATCACAGCCATAGTACGTACAACCTTTCCTCAATGAAGCCGCTATCAGCAAAGTGAGTGCTAGTAGACCCTATATATGTATAAAGGCATTGACATTCAAGCCGAGAGGTTCAACATGTGTAACACATGCTACACACACATGCTACACACTTATATATGAGAGCCCAGCAACTTGAGCTCCGCACGCATCAATTCCATTTTCAAACAAATCTCCCACTGACATCAATGCATGGCTTATGCGACAGTTCCACAATCTAATAAATCCTAATAATATGTAAATACATATTTGACCCAGGTCTGTTTCGCACAATGCACGCACGCTCGCATAGTCTACTGTATATGCTAATAGTAACATTACACACACTGTCTTTCTTTTCACCAAGACCAGTATGTAGAGGATCTAGTTTCAGGCGTTTCTTTTACACCTGCTACGTTAGGTTAATGTCTCTGTGCTGATAGTAATAGTATTCTGTCTATGTCTCTGTGATAGTGATAGTATTCTGTCTATGTCTCTGTGATAGTAACAGTATACTGTCTATGTCTCTGTGATAGTAATAGTATACTGTCTATGTCTCTGTGATAGTAATAGTATACTGTCTATGTCTCTGTGATAGTAATAGTATACTGTCTATGTCTCTGTGATAGTAATAGTATTCTGTCTATGTCTCTGTGATAGTAACAGTATACTGTCTATGTCTCTGTATAGTAATAGTATATGTCTATGTCTCTGTGATAGTATAGTATACTGTCTAGTGTCTCTGTGATAGTAATGTATTCTGTCTATGTCTCTGTGATAGTAATAGTATTCTGTCTATGTCTCTGTGATAGTAACAGTATACTGTCTATGTCTCTGTGATGGTAATAGCATACTGTCTATGTCTCTGTGATAGTAATAGCATACTGTCTATGTCTCTGTGATATTAATAGCATACTGTCTATGTCTCTGTGCTGATAGTGAAGTTGGGCTCCTCACCTGGTATATCTCCAGGGGCTTGTTCTCCATGTTGAGGTCCCACACCTTGGCGGTGAGGTAGTCTCTGGTCAGCAGGTAGCGCCCGCTGTGGCTGAACTTGACGTCCGACACAGACGAGATGATTTCCGAGAAGAAGGAGCGGTTACTGGGGTCCTCCGGCTCCTCAAACACTAGAGGAGGAGAGGAGAGGGGGGTGAGTGTTTGGGGGTAGTAGTGTGTGTGTGTGTGTGTGTGTGTGTGTGTGTGTGTGTGTATGTGCGTGTGTGTGTGTGGCCTCCAGATTGCGGGTCTGCCAAAAGCTAAGGCGAAGCAGTTGGCTAGGTACTGCTCTGTTTCAGCAGTTGGGAGAACAGTATGCTTTCTTAGTATGCTTTCTGTACCCTTGAGTGCCATGCATACAGGGACCTTTGAAATGTTTGGATCCTTTTTTAATGTACATTTGATTGGTGGATTCAAATAAAGTATTCAAAGTGTGTGTGTGTGTATGATGTACGGCATATGTCTGTAATGTAAGTGTGTGTGTGGGTTGGTTCTTCTATCCTTGTGGGGACTTAAAATCCCCCAAAGTCCCTACAAGGATAGTAAAACAAGGAAAATCCTCCCTAGTGGGGACATTTCCCACATTCCCATGAGGACAAAGTCTATTTTAAGCTTAGGGGTTAGGTTTAGGGTTAGAATTAAGGTAATGGAATTAAGGTAATGGGTTAGTGCCTAGGTTTAGGGCTAGGAGTTAGGTTTAGGGTTACGGGCTAGGGTTAAGGTTAGGGAAAATAGGATTTTGAATAGAAATCAATTTTAGGTCCCCACTAGGATAGAAGAACAAAATGTATGTGTGTGTGTTTCTGATGGTAGGCTATGTCTGTCTGTATGTCTATGTCTGTGTGTGTGTTTCTGATGGTAGGCTATGTCTGTCTGTATGTCTATGTCTGTGTGTGTGTTTCTGATGGTAGGCTATGTCTGTCTGTATGTCTATGTCTGTGTTTCTGATGGTAGGCTATGTCTGTCTGTATGTCTATGTCTGTGTGTGTGTTTCTGATGGTAGGCTATGTTCTGTATGTCATGTCTGTGTTGTGTTTTCTGATGGTAGGCTATCTCTGTCTGTATGTCTATGTCTGTGTGTGTGTTTCTGATGGTAGGCTAATGTCTGTATGTCTATGTCTGTGGTGTGTGTTTCTGATGGTAGGCTATGTCTGTCTGTATGTCTATGTCTGTGTGTGTGTTTCTGATGGTAGGCTATGTCTGTCTGTATGTCTATGTCTGTGTGTGTGTTTCTGATGGTAGGCTATGTCTGTCTGTATGTCTATGTCTGTGTGTGTGTTTCTGATGGTAGGCTATGTCTGTCTGTATGTCTATGGTCTGTGTGTGTGTTTCTGATGGTAGGCTATGTCTGTCTGTATGTCTATGTCTATGTGCGTGTTTCTGATGGTAGGCTATGTCTGTCTGTATGTCTATGTCTGTGTTTCTGATGGTAGGCTATGTCTGTATGTCTATGTCTGTGTGTGTGTTTCTGATGGTAGGCTATGTCTGTCTGTATGTCTATGTCTGTGTGTGTGTTTCTGATGGTAGGCTATGTCTCTGTATGTCTATGTCTGTGTTTCTGATGGTAGGCTATGTCTGTCTGTATGTCTATGTCTGTGTGTGTGTGTTTCTGATGGTAGGCTATGGCTGTCTGTATGTCTATGTCTGTGTGTGTGAGTACTCACGTTTGGAGTGTTTGTCACACAGTGCGGCCTCTCTCATGTCACAGAGCCGTAGAGTTCCTTTACTGCTGCTGTAGACCAACAGGTTACAGTGGTGAGGGTGGAACTCTGCTGCTGTTATCACCTCTGTCAGATCCTCCATGTTCACTGGCTTGATGTCCACGATGTCTGGGGCACAGGGGTTCAAGACTACAGCAGAGAGTACTGTATACACATAAATTATGATAATAATTAAACAATTAAGAAATAAGGCACGAAGGGGTGTGGTATTTGGCAAATATACCACGGCTAAGGGCTGTTCTTATGCATGACCCATGCGGCGTGCCTGGATACAGCCCTTAGCCGTGGTATATTGGCCATATACCACAAACCCCCGAGGCGCCTTATTGCTATTATAAAATGGTTACCAACTTAATAAGAGCAGTAAAAATACATGTTTTGTCATACCCGTGGTATACGGTCTGATATACCACGGCTGTCAGCCAATCAGCATTCAGGGCTCGAAACACCCAGTTTATAATGTATAATATAAAATAGCATACATACTAATTTGATTGTGTGTGTGTTTGATTAAAAACATAGTACCACATACATGCAGTACATATTCAAAATTATACGCGAAAACACACTGATATCAATGCATATACTATTATACACACACCTCTAGGGGTAGCGGGAGGGTAATTCCAAATGAATTTGAATTGTAACAATGCAAATCCTTTCCGGGGCGAGGAGTGTGTGTGTTCTATTCAGCCGCATTATAATCCAGAAAAGGAGTGAAATATTTATGGAACAGTTTTAATAATTCATTAAGCTGCATTTAAACTCCTCGGGAATTATTCCCCTCCCCCACATCACTGTGTGTGTTCGGTTGGAGTCTGTGTCTATATGTGAGTAGGTTCATTTGTGCGTGTGTGTGTGTGTGTATTGACCAATTGTCTGATCTAAAGGATACTGAAGCTGCGGTCGGTGATGCCCAGATGCCAGAGGTTGATCCTCAGGTCGTCAGCTGACATGTAGGTCTCGTGGTCAGAGTTGACGGAGATGGAGTTGACGTGGTAGGTGTGGGCGTTGGCAAACACACGCCGAGGGCTCACTTCCACCATCAGATCCATGGGCTTCAACACCGGCACCTAGACAGAGTACAGCAGATACAGTCAGAAAACACAAGACAGCAGATACAGTCAGAAAACACAAGACAGAAGATACAGTCAGAAAACACAAGACAGAAGATACAGTCAGAAAACACAAGACAGAAGATACAGTCAGAAAACACAAGACAGAAGATACAGTCAGAAAACACAAGACAGAAGATACAGTCATGAAACACAAGACAGAAGATACTGTCAGAAAACACAGAGATATGTACTATGTGGTGAGTAGACTCAAAACGCTGAGATCAAATAAGGTTTTACATTCGTAGAATCAAGATTATAGAAAATACATCAGTTTAGTCCATTTGTTCAAAATTACAGAGAGCACATGGAAAACCACGGAGATATAACCATTAGGAATACCTGTAATAATTTGATATTATCGCTTGTGGAAATTAAGGCAGAGAAAACTGGGTTTCTCACTAATTGCTTTGTTCAGTATCTATTGGTCATGTGACATGGTTCAAATTCTTCCACCGTCTATGCTTTTAGGAACGGGATGATGATATGAGAATGCAACAAAGAATGTGAAACAGTATAGAGGCGTATTGGTGTGTTTTCACCAACACAGACACAACAATAGTCTGTTCCACCCCCCCCCCCCCCCCCAAACATTTTTTATTTTCTCTGGTCATAACAGCTGGCATTATTTACTGTCGCCAAGCAGACAAGCATACACACACACAAACGCGCACACACACACCTTGTGCCAATGACCCACTTTTGTAAACTCACCACTGACCTACTTATGCTGTCCGATCTAGAACGTGCGTGTGTGATGTGTGAGTGTGTGTGTGTGTGCATGTGTGTGTGCATGTAACACACACATAACATAGATACAGAACATAGATACAAAGGGAAGATAAAGAAAGAAAGAAAGAAAGTCCAGGGTGACCTGATAACGATAAGAGAGAGATAGAGAGATAGAGAGAGATAGAGAGATAGAGCAGGTAGAGAGATAGAGAGAGAGATAGAGAGATAGAGCAGATAGAGATAGATAGAGAGATAGAGATAGAGATAGAGTGAGAGAGATAGATAGATAGATAGAGAGATAGAGCAGATAGAGAGATAGAGCAGATAGAGATAGAGTGATAGAGAGATAGAGCAGATAGAGATAGAGAGATATAGCAGATAGAGAGATAGAGCAGATAGAGCAGATAGAGAGATAGAGAGATAGAGCAGATAGAGATAGAGAGATAGAGCAGATAGAGAGATAGAGCAGATAGAGAGATAGAGATAGATAGAGAAGATAGATAGAAAAAGAAGGAGAGGAGGAGAAAGAAGCCTGAGGAAGAGGAGGTGTGTACCTGTAGTGAGGTGACGGTGGAGAGGTCCTTTATCCTGCCCTCTTCATCCTTCAGGTTGTAGCCTTCAGGCCTCTTGTCCCGCTCACTCACCTTCCACAGCTTAATGGTCTTATCTGATAGACAGCACAATACACCAATCATACAACTTCAATAGCCTTATCTAAGAGACAGACAGGGCAATCAAGCCAATCATATGCCCCAGACGTCTTATCTGAGAGACCGATAGCACAATCAACCAAGCATATGCCTCAAACAGCCTTGTCTGACAGACAGGATTATTCACCAATCATATACCTCAAACCGTCTCATCTGAGAGACAGACACGGCAATCAACCAATCATCTGTTTCAAATCATCTCATCTGTGGTCAGTTAAAAAGCTAGAGGGATAGGTAGAGGTCCCGTGTAGCTCAGTTGGTAGAGCATGGCGCTTGCAACGCCAGGGTTGTGGGTTCGTTTCCCACGGGGGGCCAGTATGAAAATGTATGCACTCACTAACTGTAAGTCGCTCTGGATAAGAGCGTCTGCTAAATTACTAAAATGTCAATGTAAAATGTAGATTCAATGTAGACCATGAGTGGTGCATCTACCAGTGTATGAAGCAGGTCATATGGGAATTACATTGACAATGTATGGATGATAGTGTAATAACATGGTAATATGGTAATATCATTTACAAACATTGTAATAGCATCCTGGTGCTAATGCAGAGGTCCCTCACCATTGGTGGAAAGGAGGAAGTGGGCGGCGTTCTGCTGAGGCAGCCATCGTATCTTGTTGATCTTCTCCTCGATCTCCAGACTCTTCAGGTAGTCAAACTCCGGCTCATGGCTCTGGAACGTGCTGTAGACATTGTACTCTCCCTGGGAGTACGGCTCTGTCTTACACTGCAGCCAGATAGAGAGAGAAAGAGACAGTTACACCCAACACAGTGTAGTGCTGGAGTCAATTCAACCTCAATTGCAGTTATTTCACAAAGTTGCTTAAAATGGACCCTTATCCCGAACATCTATATAATGAACACACACAGTGCCAGGTCTGTGTGGGTGTTTGTATGTGTGTGTACCTACCTCAGGTTCCCTCTGGAAGATGACCACTCGCCCCCCCTTATCCCCTGTGGCCAGGAGCTCTCCAGTGTGGTTGAACTCTACAGTGGAGATGATATCAGCTGCAGACAGGAAAGAGAGAGGGAGAGAGAAAGAGATAGAGAGAGATGGGAGGGAGAGAGAATGGAGAATGGAGAGAGAAGGGAGAGAGAGAGTAGCTATAAGCGAACAGCGCGAAGATAAACATTCAGCATAATTAATTGTTCATTATCAGATGGCACTGTAAACAGCATCACCCAACAATGCAGCAAGTAAACACATAAATGAATGAATAAAAATGAACATTCAACCAAACCCACTGTTAGGTTCTGACAAACAGAGTGAAAAACTAACAGACAACTAGTCAAAGCTCACACACATACACACACACACACACACACACACACACACACACACACACACACACCAAATCTCACATCAGACACAGGTGCTATTATCTAAGCCTGCTTCTGACATACTGCGACCACACTGATGCACAGACTGAACAGTGAACAGCGGTGAGTGAATAGTGAATGTTGTGAATGCTCCTAACCCTCCTACCTCTACTAACCGTCCCAGTGTCTTTCTGAGACACTACGGGCCAGTCTGAGGAGGAGAAGGCCTGTGTTAGCAGCCAGGGACCTTCCTGTCAAAAAGCATCTCTTACTTACCGCTGACTGATTAAATCTTACATTAGATTACAGTGGTATTCACAGTCAATTAATGGCCTGACAAGAAGAAAAAAAAACTGCCGGGAGAGGTTCTCTTCTACACTGTTCAACCAATCCAGTAAATGTGGAGGAGGAGTTAAGATGGAGTGTCGCCTTGTTAACGCCCAAAAGCGGAAGTCGCGTCACAGGCTCGCTTTCCATTTCCCCTAAAAACCAGATGCATCCGGTTGTATCCGACCCCACTAAGCCTAACTGGTTCTATTGATAATAGGTATTTGTTTTATTAGAAGGTCTGCCTATAAACTGTGTTTAAACCATGATCAAATAGGTTATTAACCATTAGTAAAGTGTCTATAAATCATGGTACTGATAATAATAACAGAACTGCTGTTATGAATAGAATTATCTCTCTCTCTCTCTGTATGTCAGGCAATGTGTGTGTGTTTGCGTGTACAGGGCAGTGGGGGACTGGGGGGGGTATTGTTCGTGCATGGGGTTGCCATGGCAACAGGCTGAAGTGGTCTGGCTCTAGCAGCAGCAGCCCGGTAGGAGAGGAAGGCAGTAGCAAGAGAAGCAGGAATCATCAATCTGGGGGACATAATGGGCCTGCCCTGCCTAGTCCACAAACAGCCCAAATTCAATCTGGAGCGGCGTCGCAGCAACTCACTGCACGGACCGCCGCCGCCACACACACACAAAACACACAGGACACCCAGACCTCACAGTACATACGCAGTTACACACACACTCATATATCTCAGAGCACACACACATCAAGGCACACACGGCACATACAGTTTCTCCAAGCACACACACAGAGCATACATACCAGTGGAGGCTGGTGGGAGGAGCTATAGGAGGACAGGGTAATTGTAATGGCTGGAATGGAATGATTGGAACAGAGTCAAACATGTGGTATAGCTCCTCCCACCAGCCTCCTCTGATACATATAAATGTACATGCTCACTTTAGCATGAAAATGTCCTTCACAAAACTAACACATAAACACACGTGTCCTTCACACACTAATCTCAGCACCCAAATCATAAGATACTTTTCACACTCCAACACATAAGCACAAATACACACACTGTGACACAGACACAAAGTGCTGAAGGGTCGATAAGGAGGAGAATGAGGGGAGGATGATGTCCTACTGTTCCAATTACAGTAATCTCTGGTCTGGGTAAACATTACTACCAATACCTCTCTCTTAACAGCATGGTCAAACCAACACCCAGAAGGGGACGTGTGTGGGTGGGGTTGTGTGTTTGTACGTGTCTGTGCACATTTGTAAAAAAAAAATTTTTTACCTTTATTTAACTAGGCAAGTCAGTTAAGAACAAATTCTTATTTACAATGACGGCCTACACCGGCCAAACCCAGATGATGCTGGGCCAATTGTGCGCCGCCCTATGGGACTCCAAATCACGGCCGGTTGTGATACAGCCTGGAATCGAACCAGGGGGTCTGTAGTGACGCCTCAAGCACTGAGATGCAGTGACTTAGACCGCTGCGCCACTCGGGAGCCCACATACACTCAATTACCCTCCACAATAAAGATTTTTTTTAAATTTAGAGCCCTGCACACACACACACCACACAGTTATTGAATAGGGATGACTATAGTTCTGTTAATTGTTCATCACTAGCCAATGTAATGAGTAACATCAGGAGAAGAATGGAGAGGGGGTGGAGGAATAGAGGAGAGAGGGTTAGATAGGAGGAAGACGGGGGAAGTGGAGAGATAAGAGTCAGGGTGGATGCTGAAGCATATTGTATACCAGTACATACAACATCCTAATCCTCCTGGGACTATGGGATCTGTTTATTCCTGTGTTTCTACACTCCAAAGATACTAAAATGCCATAGTATATATTGTATAAAACAGGGAGGGAGATGCTTGGTTATGGAAACAATCAGAGAGAGAGAGAGAGAGAGAGAGAGAGAGAGAGAGAGAGAGAGAGAGAGAGAGAGAGAGAGAGAGAGAGAGAGAGAGAGAGAGAGAGAGAGAGAGAGATGAGAGAGAGAGAGAGAGAGAGAGAGAGAGAGAGAGAGAGAGAGAGAGAGAGAGAGAGAGAGAGAGAGAGAGAGAGAGAGAGAGAGAGAGAGAGAGAGAGAGAGAGCTACAGTAAATACTCATATAACCCCTATACATGTCAGGGATTAGCTTCTATGTAAAATCTATACCGGATCTATGCCCAATCCATTTTATCCATAGCTTCGCATCTCATATACTATCTATTGTCTAATATCCCCATGAAGAATGGATGGATATGTGTGTGCAGGGATAGTCCTCTTCCCCACAGCACTGACTCCAGTATTAATGAGTGTAGGAAAAGATACGTCCTCTGTGACACTGGAGTTCGTCTGGTCAAACTCTATTTCAGGAAATCAATGACACACACGCTGAGATACATACACTCACAGAGACAGATGCACACAGAGACAGACAGACACAAACAGTCTCACACAAATAGTCCCACATATATTCACACAGATGAAAATAGACAGTCCCTCGTACACACACACGCACTCACACAAAGACACACAGACAGACATATGCACACGCACGCACACGTGCACACACAGTGCTCTGGGTCTCGATAGATCTGAATAGGTGATTCATTGGTCATTAATTTATACGGTATACAGTATAAACACACCTTCAGTGTAAGAGGCAAACGGCTCGGGCTCCAGAGAGAGGGAAGTGATGTCGGAGGACAGGACCTGGATGGGGTTCAACATCCTGGGGGAGGAGTCCGGGAGAGGGGAGGAGGCAGGGCCTGGCGGGGAGGGGCTCTTCAGGCAAAAGCCACGAGCAGCCCTGCAAGAGGGGGGCAGCAGGGTCTCAGTTACACTGCATCACAACCATCCAGAGGGATTAAACAGGGAGGGAGGGAGGGAGGGAGGGAGGGAGGGAGGGAGGGAGGGAGGGAGGTGGCGTGGGTCATCTCAAATGTCTAAAGTGTCCACTTTCCTTCATCTGCACTACTATGAAATTAATGGATACATTGTTAGTACTGTAGTGACTGATTCAAACAAATCATGCATGTTGTCATGGTTTTGTGATCATTGGTGATATTATTATCATTAACATCTCTGTTTCACCATCCTACCACCACTGTCCTGGCACCCACAGCCAAAGGACAGGAGAGGAGAGAGTGCTGTACAGGGAGAGAGAAGGACTCTATAGGGCAGGAGCGGGGAGAGAGGGGGAGCGGGACGGGGGGAAAGGGTGAGGGGGTTAAATATCCTCCCCTCTTTGAGCCTAGGGCAGAAAACCCCTGGAGACTGGAGAGGCCTCGATCCTGACATTGCTACAGATACACTGCTGTGTGTGCACACGTACACACACACATACAACGAACACACACACTGACAGAGAGACAGACACACAAACACATACTGTATATACAGTAACAGACAGAAAAACACACAAACACCAGTACCACAAATAAAAAATGTTAATTTAGAGCCCTGCACACACACACACACAGTTATTGAATAGGGATGACTATAGTTCTGTTAATTGTTCATCACTAGCCAGTGTAATGAGTAACATCAGGAGAAGAATGGAGAGGGGGTGGAGGAATAGAGGAGAGAGGGTTAGATAGGAGGAAGACGGGGGAAGTGGAGAGATAAGAGTCGGGGTGGATGAGGAGGGGATGATGCTGAAGCATATTGTATACCAGTACATACAACATCCTAATCCTCCTGGGACTATGGGATCTGTTTATTCCTGTGTTTCTACACTCCAAAGATACTAAAACGCCATAGTATATATTGTATAAAACTCTCTTCTCTTTAAGATTTTCAGAGACATACTGTATGGAAATACTATGATGTATGCTTGAGGACTAGGTGAACGGTCCCTCTAATACATTACACCTCTTTGTCTGGACAGGAGTCACGTAGGTCTGTATTTCTGCTCATCAGCGATTCTCTGTGAATAATCAGTGACTGGCTGTGAATTGATTCATTAATATGGCTATTATTAGAGGGCGGGGCTAGCCTGTCAATCACCCAAGGCCACTCCGAACCCACCGTGTTTATCTTCCTGTTCAGTTTCCATGGTGAGGGATGGATGATGTATGGAAGACTGAGTGCATTCAATGGAAAACACGTTCCACACACACCCTCGTTAAAAACAAGGTATGGTTTTCAGTATCCATTCACACACAGAGAAATAAGTATTTCAGAGGCAGTAGTATCACACGCACGCACACACACACACACTCCTGTATGAGACATTGTTCATTCATACACACTAACACACACACACAGTTCTGTGTAAGTGAAATTATATAAGCAACAGAAAGAAACACAGGATGTAATGGGATTATCTAGATAGGGACATGCAAGGCTCACGACACCTTAACATTCGGGAATTATAATCTCTGCCTCTCAGTCATGCTGCTGAACAATGTTGCTGTGTGAAAGCAACCCAGTGTTCCCGCCAGATTAGCAGTGTATAGTTCAGATTAACAGGAGTACAGAGGGATATTAAGAGATTAATCCTGAACTCTGATACCGTGATGAAACACAGACAACTTCCTCCTCTGTTCTGACGCACGTCACTCGACGGTCAGGTGCCCGCCCGCCCGCCCGCCCACGCACACTCAACAATAACCAGCGAGAGAGAGAGAGAGAGAGAGAGAGAGAGAGAGAGAGAGAGAGAGAGAGAGAGAGAGAGAGAGAGAGAGAGAGAGAGTGTGAGGGCGTGGGGGTTTAGAGCTAAACATGCACCGGTATTAAATGTGTTATTAGTGTATATGATGAATACTATCATCTCATCCTATAAATGTACCATGTCAGAGGGGACTTGGATGAATGTAACACAATAATGTTAGATTTCAGTAAACATTTCTGGTGTGCTTTAATTTCAGACCCAAAAATAAATGAGTCATTTGCATATATGCATGCACTGTATGTACAATACAGAGAGACAAACAGTCACAAACCTGCACAAACAAACATACTGTACACACACACATATACACAGACTCAGACACAGAGCTCAGACACAGTGCTCAGACACAGTGCTCTGACGGTAAAGGAGTGGCCTTGAACAGTATCACACATTGACACAACCACAGAGGGACGAGAGAGAGAGAGAGAGAGAGAGAGAGAGAGAGAGAGAGAGAGGAGAGAGAGAGAAATAAAGGAGAGATCAGAGCTAAAGGATGGAGAGGGATGACAGAAGAGCGGGAGGAGAGAATAGAGGGAAAAACGGTATTTAAAAGAGATTAGTACAAAAGAAAAGAGCAGAGAGGAGGGAGAGAAGTGCTCCAGGCCCTGTTTAGGTCTACTATACTAACTGTAAGTGACTTTAACTTGTGTGAAAGATTATAGATCCTCTTATAAAAGATTATAGATCCATCCTATATTAACAAAAAAGAAATCATTCTCTCACACATAAACTTACATAAAGAGTCGTAGAACACACACACACACACACACACACAAAACATACAATATATAGATCACACGCATACACACATGGAACCCTTCCCCTTCTCTTACCTTCAGTCACATAGTTGTGGTCTCGGAGGAAGCCGTGGTTGAGTGTTCGGGTGGTGTCAGTGTCCTCGCCCATCAGCAGGGGTGCGGTGTGCGCCCGTCCCGGGGGGGCAGCTTAGATCCGTGGGGGGGGTCCCGGCCAGCGCAGCGCCCATACTGCCCAACGCCGCTCAGCACAGGGGCGCAGAGCGAAGCATTCTGGGACAGGGAGAGGGCCGACGACACGGATACGCTGGCAGAGCAGTGAATGACACACCAGCTCTGCTCTTACACAAACACCCACGTTCACTGACACACACACAGAGGTTGAGAGCGATGGATCTTCTTTTCCACGTCGATGCTCCAAGGGGGGGAGGGGAGGATGAGGCGTTGAGCCAAGCCCCAGATTCAGTCAGCATCTGCAGTGCTGCTGCTCCTGCTGCGGTGCTCACACAAACGGACCCGACACACTAACACACAAAGCCTGTTGCGTCTGGTCAGGTACTCCTCGACAGAGCATCCATGAAGACGGTCCTTCTCTCTCACAGCCGATGGAGTCCCTCTCTGACGCTACGCTACAGCCGGGGAGAAATCCTGCCGGCCTGTTTTTCTGCTGCAGTGTCAGCTCTGGCGTATGTGTGTGTGTGAGAGCGTGTGTGTGTGTGAGGAGAGAGAGAGGTAGAGAGAGAGAGAGACAGAGAGAGAGGGAGGGAGGGAGGGAGGGAGAGAGGGAGGTTCTATCCTGCTGTTGTGGTACGTGTGACACATCAGAATAGACTCCTCCCAGCTCAGCCAATCAGAGATGAGCTGCGATATGCATGTCTACTGACTGCAGGTGATTAGAGAGAGAGAGACAGAGAGAGGATGAAAAAGAGAAAGCGGGGGATGGATGGATGGGAGAAAGAGAGAGGTGGTAGAGAGATAGTGGGGGATGGAGGAAGAGAGAGGAGAAAAGAGGAAGGAATGCTGTACCAGTTCAGCAGTGAATGAAATACAGCAGAAGTGAAGCATGACAGTGACTGGAGGATTTACCTGGAGCCCTGACTACACTATTTTCCATTAACACACACAGACAATATTACAAACTATAGCACACATAAATGTTATCATTTTTCCATTGGGGTGTGAGAGACAGAAATGGGGATCAAGGAGAGGAGAGAGGGAGTGAGATGGGGATGGAGGGTGAAAGACAAGAGGAGGAGGGGTTAGAGAGCATGAAAGTACCAGTGACAGTTGGTGTCATCTCTGCTTCTGGACGATTGCCATTAGGTTTTAACCCCCAGTGGAGAATATAAGGCCTGTTAATCAGCTCTAACCCCCAATCATCAGCTTTCACCCCCATAAACACAGCTACAACCCCCACAACCAATACAGCCCCCAACCCCCTACAAATCCCATGAAACTAGTCTTACGTTAACCCACTACCATATACAGTCTTGCCATCCCACTTAAACCTCCTCAACATATCCCCCAAAAAAATATATCATCTCAAACACACACATACATATACACACAAACACACCTTTTTACATCCTACCCACACACCACAGTCCAGCTCCATCATCATCCGCTCCAGCGCAGTATGTCCTTCATGGGCTGCCATCCCTGACCCTGGCCCTGCATGTGTGCAGATGAGAGGGACAGACCCTGGGCTCGTATCCCGCGGTGCCGCCGCCACTCAGCCGTGAAGGCTTGGCCACAGACTGAGCCTGTTGCCTTGGCGATGCTGGAACGCAGAGCCACTAGGTTGGACCCAAGGCACCGGGCGCATCTCAATAGTCTTAATGTGGCTTCCTCTCCACGCCTCCTCTCCCCTTCATCTGCACTGATCTATAAAGGCAGAGAAGGTGACAGCAACACGGTGGGACTATACCTACTGGGAATTCACTTCCACCTGTCCAGTTCGTTCATGTCAGTACAGATTAGGGGAAGGAGACAAGGAGAGGCAGCCATTTTAGACTATTGAGATGCAGCCATGGTGTCCCAAACTACGGGGCACATCCTCCCTAAGGGAAGGACTGGGAGGCAGGAGGGATTAGAGGAAGAGTCAGTGAACAGACTGACGTTGGAACCAGTCCAGAGAGCACTGTCAGAGTTCAAACCTCAACTGACAGACATAAACCTCAACATGAATCCCCTGTTCTAACGAAAGGAATAGAAGATATGATGGGATGATTTGACGGTAAACTGTTGTTTCATGAATCACTGATGATTCATTAGAATCTCACATGACAAAAAGCATTTATTCATAGACACTTAGTCTACAGATTCTGATAAACCCAACCATGGATTATTTACAGAGCTTGCTAGACAAATTAACTTTCTCACGTAAAGCATACACCATGATAATGCGCTAGCACTATTATCATGAGCACCAAATGATCCAATCAGAGAGCCTGATGCTTGTGAGTGACTGTCTGTTCCTAGTGACCCGGTGCTCTTCCTTTTCCCCTCCTACCAACCCCCACTCCGGAACACTCTGCTCCGCTCTGCCACAGAGTTGCCTAGCGACCAACAGAGCGAGGAGCCACTCGGAATACATAGGAACTCTGGAGCACCGGGATAATGAACTCCCACTCCATCCCGGCATCCCTCTTCCCAAACAGAAATCGGAAGCACATTCACTGTAATTCCATCCATGTTTTTCCCAAAGGGGGAATACACTACACACCAACCTAGTCAATCCGGTCTCACCCCTTTCATACACACTGGGTTGATGTGAGATCTAAATGGTTATAAATCCCATAGACATCCTATAATTTATTCTATATGCAATTCTATGATAAATCCACAGTTGTTTGCGGGTAGTGCTAGAACGCTCAAGATATTTAGATTATAGATCTAGGGTAACACTTTATTTGGATAGGTCATCTGTAGACTATCTACAAACTATCAGTTAAATTTCAACTAACTATCTACTAACCCTAACCTTAACCCATATCATAACCCTAAACTTACCCTTTACCCTAACCCTAACCTTAGCAAGCAGTTACTTATCAACATAGTTTGTTGCTAGTATGACCATTTGTAGAGCATCTACAGTGAGGGAAAAAAGTATTTGATCCCCTGCTGATTTTGTACGTTTGCCCACTGACAAAGAAATGATCAGTCTATAATTTTAATGGTAGGTTTATTTGAACAGTGAAAGACAGAATAACAACAACAAAATCCAGAAAAACACATGTCAAAAATTGTATAAATTGATTTGTATTTTAATGAGGGAAATAAGTATTTGACCCCCTCTCAATCAGAAAGATTTCTGGCTCCCAGGTGTCTTTTATACAGGTAACGAGCTGAGATTAGGAGCACACACTTAAAGGAGTGCTCCTAATCTCAGTTTGTTACCTGTATAAAAGACACCTGTCCACAGAAGCAATCAATCAATCAGATTCCAAACTCTCCACCATGGCCAAGACCAAAGAGCTCTCCAAGGATGTCAGGGACAAGATTGTAGACCTACACAAGGCTGGAATGGGCTACAAGACCATCGCCAAGCAGCTTGGTGAGAAGGTGACAACAGTTGGTGCGATTATTCGCAAATGGAAGAAACACAAAATAACTGTCAATCTCCCTCGGCCTGGGGCTCCATGCAAGATCTCACCTCGTGGAGTTGCAATGATCATGAGAACGGTGAGGAATCAGCCCAGAACTACACGGGAGGATCTTGTCAATGATCTCAAGGCAGCTGGGACCATAGTCACCAAGAAAACAATTGGTAACACACTACGCCGTGAAGGACTGAAATCCTGCAGCGCCCACAAGGTCCCCCTGCTCAAGAAAGCACATATACAGGCCCGTCTGAAGTTTGCCAATGAACATCTGAATGATTCAGAGGAGAACTGGGTGAAAGTGTTGTGGTCAAATGAGACCAAAATCGAGCTCTTTGGCATCAACTCAACTCGTCGTGTTTGGAGGAGGAGGAATGCTGCCTATGACCCCAAGAACACCATCCCCACCGTCAAACATGGAGGTGGAAACATTATGCTTCGGGGGTGTTTTTCTGCTAAGGGGACAGGACAACTTCACCGCATCAAAGGGACGATGGACGGCGCCATGTACCGTCAAATCTTGGGTGAGAACCTCCTTCCCTCAGCTAGGGCATTGAAAATAGGTCGTGGATGGGTATTCCAGCATGACAATGACCCAAAACACACGGCCAAGGCAACAAAGGAGTGGCTCAAAAAGAAGCACATTAAGGTCCTGGAGTGGCCTAGCCACTCTCCAGACCTTAATCCCATAGAAAATCTGTGGAGGGAGCTGAAGGTTCGAGTTGCCAAACGTCAGCGTCGAAACCTTAATGACTTGGAGAAGAGTGGGACAAAATCCCTCCTGAGATGTGTGCAAACCTGGTGGCCAACTACAAGAAATGTCTGACCTCTGTGATTGCCAACAAGGGTTTTGCCACCAAGTACTAAGTCATGTTTTGCAGAGGGGTCAAATACTTATTTCCCTCATTAAAATGCAAATCAATTTTTGACATGCGTTTTTCTGGATTTTTTTGTTGTTATTCTGTCTCTCACTGTTCAAATTATAGACTGATCATGTCTTTGTCAGTGGGCAAACGTACAAAATCAGCAGGGGATCAAATAATTTTTTCCCTCACTGTATAGTGGACTGTCCAGACTAACCAAATAAAGTGTGACCAGATCTAGAATGCTCTATTTACAATGCTGTGATAGTAAATGATATCCAATGGTTCGGATTCACAACAGTGTCAAAATCCAAATTTCCACAGACACAAAAGGGCTTACGAGATAGACGCCAGAGATGAACGTTTTAAACTAGCATCCGCTAACACTATTAGCACATAAATATGAATTCGGAGGACAGAACTTATTAAATATTAAAGCATTAGACCTATCACTAAAAGCTTCAGTCATACAAAAGTTATACTTAAATCCGAACTGGTTCTTAAGCAAATTAGTAAGATTGTCTCACCCAATGTTCAAGAAAGGCCTTTTTCCCTTTATTCAGATTACAACCTCTCACTTTCAGTTATTTGAAAAGGAAATAATCTCCCAAATATCACTATTTCTAAAACAAGCCATAGAAAGTTGGTTGCAATTTCAATTTAATCCTCCAGAAACAACAGAACAAATAATGCAACAAATATTGTGGTTAAATTCAAATATACTAATTGACAAAAAAACTTTATTTTTTGACAGAATGTTTAAAAAAGGTATAATCTTCGTAAATGATATCATCGGTAGGACTGGTGGAGTTATGTCGCACATGCAGCTAACAAAAACATATGGAAATGTCTGCTCTACCCAAAATTACAACCAAATAATTGCAGCCTTACCGCAAAAGTGGAAGAGGAAAGTGGAAGGGGGAGAAAGTAAGGAAATTGTCTGTCGGCCTTGCATTAAAGAACATAATTGGTTAAGGAAAACTGTGATAAATAAAAAAGTATATCAGTTTCACTTAAGGACCAAAGGATTGACAGCCGTCCCATATAGATTGCAAAATAGTTGGGAAGAGATCTTTGACGTACCGATCCCATGGCATAGTGATTATGAACTGACACGCAAAACGACACCGGATTCAAAAATTTGAATCTTTCAATTTAAATTATTATATAAAATTCTTGCTACCAATAGAATGTTATTTATATGGGGGATACAATCTTCCCAGCTCTGCAGATTTTGCTGTGAAGAGACAGAATCATTAGATCATTTGTTTTGGTTCTGTCCATTTGTAGCTTGTTTTTGGACACAGGTCCAGGAATGGCTAAAGGATTGCAATATTTACCTGGAGCTAACCTTGCAGATAGCATTACTGGGTGATCTGAAAAGTCATAGTCAATCAATCAATAATATAATACTTTTAGCAAAAATGTTTATTTTTAATTCACAATCTGTAGAAGCAATGAGAATAGAAAGGTTCAGAACTTTTGTAAAACATCACAGTACGGTTGAAATATATATGGCAAATAGAAATCCTATATGGATGGTGTTAAGAGATAGATGGGAGGTATTGAATAGAGTTGAAGGATGGGACTAATAACATAACAACAAATAATAACAAAGATAGCTAATAATGTATGCATACTGTGTCCATAATAAGTATATAGGTTGTATGTTGGGAGCTTTTGGGAAAGAGCACAGTTAGAAAGATATGGCATATAGAAGCAAACCGGATGGACATCATGAAAATGATCGGAGAGGTTGAGAGTAGAAGTAGTTCAGGAGCAAAAAAATTAATAAATGTATATATATATATATATATATATAATTATTGTAAAATTAACTCTGTCCATAAGGTGTAGATAGTAAGTATAGACCGGAAGTAGAGGCCTGGGCATTGTTGTTCACTAATTTACTCCAAGTAGGGAAAGGATGGTGGGGTTGAAAAGTAATAAAGGGGAGTATATATATATTTTTTTTAAACATGAGGGATTGGAAGTGATGCAGACAATTACATTGATAGAAGATACAATCTATCTGCAATATTAAGCTGATCCATTCAAAAAACAAAAAAAACACTATTAGCACATCAAGTGAATGCTTGAGTACAGTCTGGTAGATGGAAAAACACGCTGCCTTCAGCTACAGACAGAACTGTAATCCCCTAAAGCAGGATCCAGTACAGTCAGTAATGGCAACGTAAATGAAAATATGGCCCCTGGGGACCAGACGATAGAGTAGATTATGAGCAGCCTTAGGCGACACTAAACCCCTAACCCCCACTGTTAAGTCACACACACACACACACACGTACAATTACCCACACACACACACACACACAGGGACGTTTGTACGGTATACACACACCAAACACACATACATCAGAGGGGCGATAATTCGATTGACTCCATAACCCCCCACCGTACCGGAATAGTTTTCTGGAAAATGTTACAAGCAGCCTGAGGAAGAGAAGACATAGGCCTAAAGTGAAATGCAACATCAATGAAAACATAGCATTATAGTTAGATCCCTAGTCGAAATACAGCAATAACAGAAATGGACAGAAATGGCACAGGCCATTACATTTACAATTAAGGACATTCCCACATTCTGAAGTTCATTGCCACTGAAAGCCACCCCATTTAGGTCATACAAATGTCTGATAATATTTGGGTGATGTCATTCCCAACACACACACACAACCACAGCATCTGTCTGATTAAATGTTCATTTGTTTCCTCTCCCTGGGTGCAAAGCTGCTTATGCTCACAGGGGCTGAAAGGGGATTACATACACCAAAATATATAAACAGAATACACAGCAAAGCCTTTGTGACCATCCCCTTAACCCATACACTCATATGTACACAAATATCCAACACCCACTGATAGTGTTCCATTGATACACCATTGATAGTGCTCCCTGTACATGTCCCCTCTCTCTTTCTCTCTATTTGGGGGCTGAGACACTATAACACAAAAGCCCTGAGTCAGTGGTCTTTAATGGAACACATTGCAGTGGGTCTGAGGTCTGTAATGGAAAAGTTCAACCCCAGAGAGAGCATAGTGACCTTGGGGGAGTGGAGGGGTTAATGGGGCGGGGGGAGAGAGCACGGGCAGTCCCATTGAGGCTCCATTTTAAACTAGTCAATTTTCTTCTAATATTTGTATGAGTTGGCAAACAAACTGAAAGGGTGAATACTTCCACCTGAAGTGTGTTGTTTGAACAGGTATAAAGGCAATGTTGGCGATTTACTGCCATCTACAGTTATGGAATGTTTGCTGACAAGTATAATTCATTGGCTGATCCCTCCTGGTGACCTGGATAGAATTATGTGATCCTCCCTAGCTCATAGGAAGTCCCACCTAGTTGACTACTTAAAAATGGTGAAAGTGCTCAATGGCGCTGCCCATGCTAAACCGGGCTTTTGGGCACTAGAGTCCTCGAGCTCTATGCAATGAACAAATCAAGGCCTCAGCAGCCAAGGGAATACGCCCACCCAGGAGAACGCTACTCTGTATTCAGGTGTGTCAATGTGTGTGTGTGAGAGAGAGAGACAGACAAAGAGTGAGAGAGCAAGAAAGACAGAGATGTACTAATCAAAAGTTCATGTTTACAGTATACTTAAAGGAACTGGGGAAAGGGACTTCTCTCTGTAAAAAGCCAAGAATGTGACTTGCTAAGCTGACAGCAGGCCCATTAGGCTTCACACACACTAGATGTAAAACATGCTAATGTGGCAGACATCTTCAACCAGCCCACTATATACACATTACTGGCATGTCTTCTATGGCATCCGATGGCATTGAAGAGTATACCACATCAGTCACCAGCTTCATCAATAAGTGCATCGACGACGTCGTCCCCACAGTGACCGTACGTACATATCACAACCAGAGGCCATGGATTACAGGCAACATCCGCACTGAGCTAAAGGCTAGAGCTGCCGCTTTCAAGGAGCTGGACACTAATCTAGACGCTTATTAAAAAATCCTGCTACGCCCTCCGCCGAACCATCAAATAGGCAAAGCGTCAATACAGGACTAAGATCGAATCCTACTACACCGGCTCTGATGCTCGTTGGATGTGGCAGGGCTTGCAAACTATCACGGACTAATATCGAAAACCCAGCCGCGAGCTCCCCAGTGACGCGAACCTACCAGACGAGCTAAATGCTCTATGCTCGCTTCGAGGCAAGCAACACTGAACCATGCATGAGAGCACCAGCTGTTCCGGACGACTGTGTGATCACACTCTCCTCAGGGCCAGACGGATTACCAGCAAGTGTCTTCACTGATATTTTCAACCTCTCTCTAACCCAGTCTGTAATACCTACATGTTTCAAGCAGATCCCCATAGTCCCTGTGCCCAAGAATGCCAAGGTAACCTGCCTGCCTAAATGACTACCACCCCGTAGCACTCACATCTGTAGCCATGAACTGCTTTGAAAGGCTGGTCATGGCTCACATCAACACAATCATCCCAGAAACCCTGGACCCACTCCAATTTGCATACCGCCCCAACAGATCTACAGACGACGCAATCTCTATTGCACTCCACACTGCCCTTTCCCACCTGGACAAAAGGAACACCTACGTGAGAATGCTGTTCATTGACTACAGCTCAGCGTTCAACACCATAGTGCCCTCCAAGCTCATCACTAAGCTAAGGACCCTGGGACTGAACACCTCCTTCTGCAACTGGATCCTGGACTTCCTGACTGGCCACCCCCCAGGTGGTGAGGGTAGGCAACAACACATTTGCCACACTGACTCTCAACACAGGGGCCCCTCAGGAGTGCGTGCTTAGTTCCCTCTTATACTCCCTGTTCACCCACGATTCCAATATCATCATTAAGTTTGCCGACGATCACCGACGACGATGAGACAGCCAATAGGGAGGAGGACAACAACCTCTCACTCACCGTGAGCAAGACAAAGGAGCTGATAGTGGACTACAGGAAAAGTAGGGCCGAGCACGCCCCCATTCACATCGACGGGACTGTAGTTGAGCAGGTCGAGAACTTCAAGTTCCTTGGTGTCCACATCACGGTCCAAACGCACCAACAAAGTCTCGAAGAGGGCACAGCAATGCCTATTCCCCCTCAGGAGGCAGAAAAATGTATCATGGGACCTCAGACCCTCAAAAGGTTCCACAGCTGCACCATCGAGAGCATCCTGACTGGTTGCATCACCGCTTGGTATGGTAACTTCTCGGCAACCGACCGCAAGGCACTACAGAGCATAGTGTGTACGGCCCAGTACATCACTGGGGCCGAGCTTCCCGCCATCCAGGACCTGTATAGCAGGCAGTGTCAGAGGAAGGCCTTAAAAACTGTCAAAGACTCCAGCCACCCAAGTCATAGACAGTTCTCTCTGCTACCGCACGGCAAGCGGTACCGGAGAACCAAGTCTGGGACCAAAAGGCTCCTTAACAGCTTCTACCTTCAAGCCATAATACTGCTGAACAGTTAAAATGGCTACCCATGATATGATTTATATTTTTTGCACTGACTCTCTTGCACAGGCTCGATGTACTCACACATACCACACTGACACTCCAACACACTCACACACTACTACTCTCTGTTTATTATTTATGTATAGTCACTTTACCCTTACCTACATACGACATATTACCTTGACTAACCCGTACTCCCGCACATTGACTTGGTACCGGTACCCCTTGTATATAGCCTCGTTATTGTTATTTTATTGTTACTATTTTTCCCGTAGTCAAGCAAATTTTTCTTACTTACTTTTTAAAAACACATTGTTGGTTAAGGGCTTGTAAGTAAGCATTTCACGGTAAGGTCTACACCTGTTGTATTCGGAGCATGTGACAAATACATTTTCATTAGATTTCTATGCATTTACAATGGTGAATACAGCAATAAGAATGCTCTCTGGTGTTAATCAATGGTACTGCACTTACCCAGAAAACAGTACTGTACCTTCTAGAATCTTGTTCATGCTTTTCCTCTCTCACTTTGACAAACATCCTGACCTTATGGACCAAAGAAAGCATATTCAGAAATAAGATACTGTTTCATCATTGTAAGATTGACCATGAATACACCTTGTTTTATTTAGGTTAATTACTTTATATGAACAGTACACATGGAGGATGAACAGCATTGAGACAAAATAGGGAATGTTATGCTATCGTATGAAACATAATCAGCTTCTACTTGTATCACTTTTGCTAACATACACAACCATGTACAGTAACTAAAGGGCAAAAAGAAAATGAAGCACCGTTCCTCTCAGTATAAAAACAACTACGGGCAGGCCAACCTTTGAAATGATGTAACCCCCTCTCTTCCTCTTTGTAGGGAGTGCTGCTTTTCTTTCTCTGTCTCTCAATTTCCTGTCTCTTCAACATTGTCTCTCGACAGGTAAAGTCATTCCTATGGGACATTCGTTCAAAATGCAAAGAGAGTTACAGGCAGGCTTAATTCACATAAGACAAAAATGCTAAATAAGAACACTCATTTTCATTTTCCATCTTAAAATATATTCTCTCATTAGCTCCTACTGAATGTGACCCTGTTATCCTGCCCCTTTACCCAGTAGAGGGGAGAGCGTTGCCATCCTGGTCGTACTCATCCTCATGGTATGGCAGGCCCTGGTGTACCCTCTGGTGGTGCACCCTCAGGTTGCCCCTGTGGGCGAACCTCTTGCCACACTCCTGGCAGACGAAGGGTCTCTTCCCCAGGTGGACATCTCTCTGGTGGGCCCGGAGGTTCCCGCTGCGGGCAAAACGCTTCCCACACTGGGTGCAGCCAAATGGCCTCTCCCCTGTGTGGACGCGGGTGTGCACCGTGAGCTCTGACGGAGTCAGGAAGCTCTTGTCACACACCAAGCAGGGGTACATCCTCACCCCCGTGTGGCGCAGCAGGTGCCTGCGCTGGTGGGACGGGTAGCTGAAGCTCTTGCCGCAGTACGGGCAGGTGTAGGGTCTTGCCCCGCCAAGTGTGTGTGCGTGACCGTGTGCATGTTTGTGAGCGTGTGTGTGTGTGTTGGGGTGTGGTCTGATTGGGTCCTTGGAAGCCAATGACCAGCGGTTCTGATGAACTAGGCCCCTCCCTCTGTCGTCTCTTGGTCTCAGGCCTATCTGGGATTGGTTGGTTTGGTCCTGTGACTGTCGGGGCTCTCTCTGCTCTAGTACCTGGTCTGGGCTCTGGTCCAGGAAGCTGGGATCCTGAAGGTCTAGAGGAACCCCACTCGCCCAGGGGTCAAGCCCAGGAGACCTGTGGTCGGGTCTGGGGGAAACATTTCCAACCCGGGGATCTTGGAAGAAGGAAGTGGAGCTCTGGCTCTGAAGAGGTCTATGGTCTCCCTCCCAATGGGATACTAGCAAGAGATAGGAACAGAGATATTTAAAGAAACATCAAGAATGGAGGACAAAACATACAAACCAACAACTCTACAATAATGAAATCTACAATTACTCCACATATGCAGACACAAGCCCAATGCAACAGAGGTTCACTTGATCTAAAGCACAAAATGTGTGGATTGATTGGTTAAGGGTTAAAAGTCCTTACACTTTGCCTTGGTCCCTGGTGTGTCAGACAGGGGGTCTCCCAGCCTCTGGCCCCCAGCAGCACAGCTCCCCCCTGGCCCTTGGCCCTTCCCCTCCACATGGGCAGGGTGGGGCTCTTCAAACTGTGGAAGAGGGCAATGTTTAAGCTGAAGGGAGAAAATAAAACGTTAATGTGGGGGCCAGCGTCAGAGCAGTGTTAAAAGCCTTCGAATTAGTTCATCATTGAAAACAACTCAACATGACTATCTCAGTAAGAAGACTGAAAGACAGACATTCTTATCGTGTTAGAGAATGACTGTGACTGACCTCTTCTTTGATGGAAGTCCCCTCCAGCTCTGTCTCCTCCTTTTTCATCCTGGGGGGCTTCTTACACCCCCTGTCCTGGACCAGTGGGGAGGTCTCAGAGGTGGCGACATCCGACTCCCAGCTTGAACCTGCACAGACGGAGCAGGACAGACAGACAGTAGTTTAGGGTTAGTTTCAAAATACATTTTCCTAAAATCAGTACAAGAGGAGACGAGACGCATCCGATTCTCTTACCAGCTCTAGGTTCAGACTGCTGCCTAGGGCTGTCATCTAATATTTTCCTTTCTGGTCCTTCTATCACATCTAGTAGGCCATCTCCTCCATCTCCTTCCTTCTTCAACCTCCTCTCTGCCTGCTCCAGCCTCTCCCTCAGGGCTGTGATCTTCTCTCCTCTCTGCATTAGCTCTTCCTGCTGCTCACACAGACTGCTCTCGAAGATCTTTGCTATCTCACACACCGCTGCCGCCAGCAGAGAGTCCATGACGGTGGCTAGCTGGGCGTGGAAAGCATTCCTCACAGAGTCCAGCATCGTTGCGTCCTTACCCCCTGCTCTGGAGGAAAGGTAGAAGACGCAGCAGTATTTTAGAAAGATTTGACCATCTATCTGACATAGTGATGTTGGAGTCAACCTGTGTCTGTCTCCTCTCCACCACAATAATCTCGTTCTGAGCCAGTCTGAAGCAGAACTATCTAGCTAACGTTAGCTACCTAGCCAAGTAGCCAACACCCAGCCAAAATCTCTTCTCGTTAGCTAGCTAGACCACTAACATCCAGTCTACATACTAATAATAAAAGATGACACTTACTACAAAACAAGCACTGTGAAGACTGTAGCCAGGTGAATCAAGCTAGATAACTAAACAAGGTTAATTCTGGAAGGCAGACTCAGCTAATGTTATCTAGCTAGCTCGTTAACGGAGATGCAAGACACCTGGAAGAGCAGCTTCTGTATGTAGATACAGTACTAGCTGTAGTAGCCGAGTCATTTGGAATTCGAGTAGACAACTTAAATTCGCAGAAATTTGCATTTTTCTATTGACTAAAATGGCTAGCGAAATCTGTGGAAGCGAGCCATGTTGATTCTCAGTCTCGCGATAGTGTGACTTCAGTTTCTCCTAAGTAGTTCACTAACTGGATGATGGGAGATTGATAGCAGTGGAACCAAAGGTGACCACAGTTTGGGATACACTGCACATTGACAAAGCAAAAACTACACACCAACCTGAAGATCTAACGGCTTGAAATAATAGTTATTGTCCAAGCAAACGGGGAACATTTCATTTTTGTTATTAAGGTTTTTACTGTCAATGTTTGTGCAATCATTGTCATTCATAAAAGGTCACTGAAAACCGTAATTGGAGTATGCATTTTGAATGCCTTATTAAAAAAAGCCAACCTCCAGTATGTCAGATTTTATTTATGTTTAAAAAAAGCTGTTGGAACAAACATATATTATCAGAAGAGATAGAAACATGGGTCTTCTCTGCCCTGTGCAGGGGCAATATTTTTTTATTTTTCCTTTATTTAACTAGGCAAGTCAGTTAAGAACAAATTCTTATTTAAAATGACGGCCTACACCGGCCAAACCCGGACGACGCTGGGCCAAATGGGACTCCCAATCACCGCTGGTTGTGATCCAGCCTGGAATCGGGGGTCTGTAGTGACGCCTCAAACACTGAGATGCAGTGCCTTAGACGCTGCGCCACTAGGGAGCCCAATATACAGTACAATTAATGTTACATTTGTCATAATAATACATGATATAAACAATATCAGAGACATATAACAAAAACGGGAAACATAATACAAAAATCATGCCTAAATCAAAATCATAAACCAGTCTGGCACTGACTTAAAAAAAAAAAAAAAAAAAGTGATTAGCTGACAACCTGCTACCCACAAGAAAACGGATTGATCACCATATCAACTTTTATTGAGTTTGCTCTTTCCTCATCTTCTCTCAGCATCATGTTAGTTCACTGGGTACCAGGGTTGGGGTCAATTCCTTTTTCATCAGTCAATGATTACAAAAACCCTCATTGAAAATGAACAGCACTTTTCAAATCCCAAATTTAACTTCAAATAGACGTAACAAATGTATCTCCTGAATATAATTGGAATTGACCTCGGCCCGGCTGAACATTCCAATTTGACTGAGCCAAGCCATATGGACTCAGGCATGGACTGTTTCATAGTGGATCCTAATGTAGTTACTGTTGTGGAAAGTCCTGCTACAGCGAGGACAGTGGGATCGCGGGTTCTGTTTCTTGAACTGGTGGACTTGTAGCAAATGTCTATTACGTTCTGCCATGGTCTCAAATTGCTTCACACACTTCAGGCACCGGTACTTCTTTCCCGGGTGGGCGGACCTCCGGTGGCTGATCAAGACGGGATGGCAGCGGAATTTCTTGCCACACTTCGCAGTTCAGCGGTTTCTCACCTGTGTGGATGCGGAAGTGTTGAACGAGGCTAATCTGTGAACTTAGCAGCTTTTTACACACTGTGCAGTGGAACAGGCCGTCTGTTTCTGTCATTTGCTTCCATTTGCTGTTTGCCTTTGCTTGTTGATCATCTTTTCCTTTTGACTTGATGGCAGGTTGCTGCTCTGCACCAATTTCCATGGGTTCCTCCACTGGTGCAGTCCAGGAGAGGTCTCCGCTGCTCTCGTCACCCCCGTACACATTCGTATGGGCTTTACGCAAGTGTAATGTCAGGAACTGCTTTACACGGAACCTCTGCCCACACTGGTTACAAGGGTATGGTCTCTCACCTGTGTGAATGCGCTCATGGTCCCGCAGGGACTGTCCAGTAGAGTATTTCTTAAGGCAAACGTAACAAGAATACAGTTTTGAATATGTGCTGCTTTCTTTGGATGTGCTAGCTTTATTGTTTGGGGACGTAGGTTTGTCTTTCGGGGAGAGAGGTTTAGCCTTGCTGGCAGAGAGAGGTTTGTTGTTGCAGGAAGTAGTCTTGGCTCTGCTGGGGGAGAGGGGTTTCACTTTTTGCTTGATGGAGTCTGACATTTCGTTGACGCTGGAGCAAGGTTTCTTCTTCTCGTGGCTGTTACACATGTGTGCACGAAGTACACTTGGGTAATGAAACCTTTTGGGACACTGAGGACATTTGTATGTCCCCTTGATTTTCACGTTTTTATGACTCCTCATGTGCACAGAAAGACCAAACTCACGGCCAAAGCCCTTCCCACAGTATTTGCAGCTGAAACGCTTGTCAGTTCCACTGATTGTCGCTTGTTCGTCCGCATCAGGATCCATTTTGAAATGCTTTCTTTTCCTTCCTACCTTCTTCACTATGTCACTCGTTTCCCCATGTCTGCCCTCACTGTGTTTGTTTTGTAAGTCACTATCTTTTCCTTGTCTTGTGCGGTGGCTCAAGACATTCTTGTTTGATAAGTCACTGCTCTGGGGTTCCGGCTTTTCTTGTTTGAGCATACGCAGCAGACGACCATGGGTCATCCTCAGCCCCTGCCCCCGACCGCGTCCCACTGAACCCTGACCATACCCTGACCCTGTCGCACTCAGTTCAGGTAAGTCTCTTAACCGTCTGTTCAACAACCACTCCGCAGCCGACCCTGCAAAAGAGGAGCAAAAAGCATGGAGTCAGTGATGATGTCCTGCACCAGGAACTGAATTACAATTACGAGCGACAAGGATGATTTACTCTTACCTTTTCGTGGAGGACTCCTGGCTAGGGCCGTCAGCAGGTGGTTATCAAAATCCTCAGCCTGCTAAAACACAGACTCATAATGATTATGATCAGAATATGATCAGTCAGTACTAATAAAGCAGACATTTAACCTAATTCTAAACAGAAGCCACTTATTATGTTCAGTCCGTGTGCTATATTTGGGTGTGCATAATGACTGTTTATTGATTCAGGTTTCCTACACCGGACCGGTCACTAACCTCTATTTTGATGTTAGGGATGCGCCATAGACACACACTCAGTGGTCGCAGGTCCACCCATGGCGACTTATTTTCCTTTTTGATCTTTGAGAGCGGAATTAAGGAATCTTCTGACTGAAGTGGCTCGCACCAATCGGGTACTGCATTGAAACCCAAAGATAGAAATTGAATGAGAAATGTAATAGAGCTCAGCTGACACCAACTGGGAGAGAAAACATGCATAACTACACAGTCAACAAGCCCTGAAATGATATGTTGCTATTTGTCTACGCATTATCAACTTACCTTCTTCTGTCTCAGAAATTGTCATCATGGAAGAGACTGTTTGTCCAGAGGCATTGTCCAGGTCCTCTCCTCCTTTTAATCCCTCCTTCAACCTCCTCTCTGCCTGCTTCAGCTTCCCCTTCAATGCAGAGATCTCGTCTCCTCTCTGTGTCAGCTCCTCCTGCTGCTGACTCAGACTGCCCTCAAAGACTTTGGCGATCTCACACACAGCCGCTGTGAGCAGGGAGTCCATGACAGAGGACAACTGCACCCTAAAGGCATTCTGCACCTTCTCTGACATCTCTGGATTAACTGGCTCCGCTTCCACCCGACTCAGGTCTGTGTGACGTCACCCAGGTGCACCAGCTGGAAGCTCAGCTATCAATCAAGAAGAATCATGTTAAGGCCACAGGCGAGGTGGTATATCTAGTTGCATACAATAGACCAACGCTGTAATGTATCCAAGGTAAGGTAAAGTATTTGGGGTGTTTATTTGACAAAATAAAGTCGGTGGATAAAGCTGTTTCAAACTAAAAAGACAGATTTACATTTACATTTTCGTCATTTAGCAGACGCTCTTATCCAGAGCGACTTACAGTTAGTGAATACATTTTTTTTTTAAATATATATATATACTGGCCCCCCGTGGGAATCGAACCCACAACCCTGGCGTTGCAAACGCCATGCTCTATCAACTGAGCTACATCCCTGCCGGCCATTCCCTCCCCTACCCTGGACAACGCTGGGCCAATTGTGCGCCGCCCATGAATCTCCCAGTCGCGGCCGGCTGCGACAGAGCCTGGATTCGAACCAGGATCTCTAGTGGCACAGTTAGCACTGCGATGCAGTGCCTTAGACCACTGCGCCACTCAGGAGCCCAGATGCTGAGTAGTAGCTGACTAGTGATCAAAGCTGGTAATTTGATGTTTTTGTCGTCTAGCTACAAACTTCAAATACTTTAAATATTTAACTTTCACGTACTTGACTCCGATGAAGACATTGTGGGCTAACTAGCATAAACGAGTTAAGATGCCATGTCACAATAGTTAACTTGATAAAATACGTCAATACTTGCATGGTATACTGTTTATAAGGTTGCCATCATTCACAGAGGTTTATGCATTGCTTACAGACGAGGAAATTCAACACATGCTGGAATGTGCACAGCTAGAGGGGGCTCCGCGTGCGAAAAGTAAACATGGCAGCGGTCCCTAAAAAAAAAGACAATCTCTAATGGCAGTCTCATTAAAGGCTATAACGGACAACACGAACCTTCAAAAACAGCGGTCCCTAAAACAACTCCGTTGGCTTTGTCGTTGACGTATTTGGGTGTATATCTTCAACCTATGGAGCATGCAATAAACAATATTTACTGTTGTTTAACTGTCCACTGAAATGCAGACTGTACTATAGTAGCTACCATTTTTCCATGTGGACTTCCTCTCGTCCGCGACCTACCCTCGCGATTTTACCTAGGGATTTCGATGTTGCTTTGGCCTCTGCGCCAAGAAGAATGTAATTGCAGACCGCTATTAGGGGCGTTTTCTGATATAGGCGTTTCTTGATATCAAGTTACACCCATTGATGCTCGCCATTGGTCCGTGGCTGTTTCTTTTGCCGGGGACAACGGTTGTTGTCAAACTGTAGCATGGTACCAATGCCTAACCCTTTTCCTAACCTTAACCTTAGTTTCCTAACCTGCCACGTGAATGATCCTAACCTGTTCTGTAAACAAATCATCTGTGTCAAGAAACCATCAGCCCATAACACCAGAACTGACCAATTGCAGGTATCAATGGGCGTTTGCTGATAGCAGGGAACACCCACATCAAGAAACGCCCTACATTGCGGTCTGCATTAAACCGTTATTCCTGCAAATTAGCCCTTGCTCTGGCACAATCAAAAATGGTCTGCCCTTTACCTCTGTGACACAGATCTAGGGTCAGTTTCGTGCAGCCTATCTTTTTTCATCTATTGACACCCCCAAATCCACTTGCTGTACCTTAGATAGGCTATTGTACAACTTCATATGGAAAAACAAGCCACATAAGATACAAATATGTTATCACCAACAGGGTTTGATGGCGGTCTAAATGTCTTAGACTTCACTCTCTTTAATCACATATCAAAAGTCAACTGGGTTAAAAGGTACTTAAAAAATCATCATTGTTTCTGGAATATCATACCTCATTTTGTTTTTCAGAAGCTCGGAGGGCTTAATTTTTTACTACAATGTCCCTGTATTGTGGGTAAACTTCCTGTGAAATTGGCGGCTTTTCACAAGCAGGCTTTAATGTGCTGGGCTTTGCTGTATAAACACAACTTTTCACCTCATAAATGTTTTATATGGAATAATGGGTCGATATTACATAGAAACAAGATGTTATTTTACTGTAACTGGTTTTCGAAAAACGTCCTTGTCAGCCAATTAGTTAGTATTAGTGGGAATCTATTTACACGGAGAGAATTTATGGAAAGATATAACTTTGAGGTTTCAAGCAAGGAATATGACACTGTAATAAAAGCTATATCTAGTGGGATAAAATCTTTACTTCAGAATAATGCATATTTTGGAACATCTATTGTAAGCGATATCCAAGTGAATGGCATAGGTTTACTAGATAAGAAATTCAATAATCGTTTTTTAAGGGATATTTTCTACAGGAATTCTGTTCCTTCTACTATATTTCATTGGGCGTCATCGTTTGATGTAAACTGGCACCGTTCTTGGCTCACTACACACAAATGTATGGTGACCAATAAAGTAAAGGAGATATCCTTTAAGATTATCCATAGATTCTACCCGTGTAATAGCCTGATTTCTAAATATATACCTGATGTTACTAGTGAATGCAGTTTTTGTGAACTAGAAACTGAATCTATTGAACACTTATTTTGTAATTGTTTACATAGTGAGGTGTTCTGGAGTGATGTACAACTATACCTTGGCAACAAAATGCATGCAACCATTGAAATATCTAAGTTAGACATTATTTTACTACACTGATTCCACAATTGAACGTCAGTATGTCATAAATCTCTATTTTATTAGGAAAATATTTCATACGCAAATCAAAATTATGAAGAAAAAGCCCCTTTAAAAAAAATGTTTTTATCAGACTTGGAAAACTATTTAGCACTATTAAAACGTATACAAAACAATGTCAAATGTATTCATTACATGTCTGTATTTGATTTGATATAATGTGGATTTGTGTTTTTAATATATTTTCTCTAATTTCATTGTGTAATCCCTCTGGCTGTTCTGTTTTGTGTTTTACATGTTACTGTTAAATACAATTTAAAAATATATATATATATATATACAGTGGGGGAAAAAAGTATTTAGTCAGCCACCAATTGTGCAAGTTCTCCCACTTAAAAAGATGAGAGAGGCCTGTAATTTTCATCATAGGTACACGTCAACTATGACAGACAAATTGAGAAAACAAAATCCAGAAAATCACATTGTAGGATTTTTAATGAATTTATTTGCAAATTATGGTGGAAAATAAGTATTTGGTCACCTACAAACAAGCAAGATTTCTGGCTCTCACAGACCTGTAACTTCTTCTTTAAGAGGCTCCTCTGTCCTCCACTCGTTACCTGTATTAATGGCACCTGTTTGAACTTGTTATCAGTGTAAAAGACACCTGTCCACAACCTCAAACAGTCACACTCCAAACTCCACTATGGCCAAGACCAAAGAGCTGTCAAAGGACACCAGAAACAAAATTGTAGACCTGCACCAGGCTGGGAAGACTGAATCTGCAATAGGTAAGCAGCTTGGTTTGAAGAAATCAACTGTGGGAGCAATTATTAGGAAATGGAAGACATACAAGACCACTGATAATCTCCCTCGATCTGGGGCTCCACGCAAGATCTCACCCAGTGGGGTCAGAATGATCACAAGAACGGTGAACAAAAATCCCAGAACCACACGGGGGGACCTAGTGAATGACCTGCAGAGAGCTGGGACCAAAGTAACAAAGCCTACCATCAGTAACACACTACGCCGCCAGGGACTCAAATCCTGCAGTGCCAGACGTGTCCCCCTGCTTAAGCCAGTACATGTCCAGGCCCGTCTGAAGTTTGCTAGAGTGCATTTGGATGATCCAGAAGAGGATTGGGAGAATGTCATATGGACAGATGAAACCAAAATATAACTTTTTGGTAAAAACTCAACTCGTCGTGTTTGGAGGACAACAATGCTGAGTTGCATCCAAAGAACACCATACCTACTGTGAAGCATGGGGTTGGAAACATCATGCTTTGGGGCTGTTTTTCTGCAAAGGGACCAGGACGACTGATCCGTGTAAAGGAAAGAATGAATGGGGCCATGTATCGTGAGATTTTGAGTGAAAACCTCCTTCCATCAGCAAGGGCATTGAAGATGAAACGTGGCTGGGTCTTTCAGCATGACAATGATCCCAAACACACCGCCCGGGCAACGAAGGAGTGGCTTCGTAAGAAGCATTTCAAGGTCCTGGAGTGGCCTAGCCAGTCTCCAGATCTCAACCCCATAGAAAATCTTTGGAAGGAGTTGAAAGTCCGTGTTGCCCAGCGACAGCCCCAAAACATCACTGCTCTAGAGGAGATCTGCATGGAGGAATGGGCCAAAATACCAGCAACAGTGTGTGAAAACCTTGTGAAGACTTACAGAAAACGTTTGACCTGTGTCATTGCCAACAAAGGGTATATAACAAAGTATTGAGAAACACCATAATTTGCAAATAAATTCATAAAAAATCCTACAATGTGATTTTCTGGATTTTTTCCCCTCATTTTGTCTGTCATAGTTGACGTGTACCTATGATGAAAATTACAGGCCTCATCTTTTTAAGTGGGAGAACTTGCACAATTGGTGGCTGACTAAATACTCCCCCCCCCCCCACTGTATACAGTATCTCACAAGTGAGTACACCCCTCACATTTTCTTAAATATTTTAGTATATCTTTTCATGTGACAACACTGAAGAAATGACACTTTGCTACAATGTAAAGTAGTGATTTTGCGGTCCCCTCAAAATAACACCACACACAGCCATTGTCTAAACCGCTGGCAACAAAAGTGAGTACACCCCTAAGTGAAAATGTCCAAATTGGGCCCAAAGTGTCAATATTGTGTGGCCACCATCATTTTCCAGCACTGCCTTAACCCTCTTGGGCATGGAGTTCACCAGAGCTTCACAGGTTACCACTGGAGTCCTCTTATACTCCTCCATGACGACATCACGGAGCTGGTGGATGTTAGAGACCTTGCACTCCTGCACCTTCCGTTTGAGGATGCCCCACAGATGC